ACTATTATTCTGTGATTTAAAAATACTGTAGTCCCCCTTTATCTGCAGCGGGTATGTCCCAAGACACCCCAGTAGATGTCTGAAACCTCAGATACTACCACACCCAACATACTGTTTTTCCTATATATCTATATCTATGCTAAAGGCTATTTTATAAATTAGACACACTAAAAGGTTAATAACTAATTAAAAAACAATTATAACAATATATTGGAATAAGTTATGTGAATGCGGTCTTCTATTGAACTGTACTCACCCTTCTTGAGATGTTAGCTGACACCGAGCCTATGTGAAATGACGTGCGGTAAATGACGTAGCGTGGTGACGTAGACGTGGTGACGTATGTGGTGACGCACCGTCAAGGGACTATTGGCCTTCTGAAGATTCATCAGGCATATCGTGGAGCCACGACAGACTATGTCTTCTATCCACAAATTTAATACCTTTCCCATCTTAAATAATTACTTACCATGCATGTGGCCGTAATTTTTGCAGTTTGAGCTGCAGTAGCAAAACTAGCATGGATTTCTTTTTCCTTCGTCACAGCTTCACCGGAAGGAGACTGTTCTCACGGTAGAACTTAACAATCTGAGTATAGGAATTTTTTTCTTTCCCTAAGAACTTTCTCTCTCTCTCTCTTTTTATTTTCTTAAAGGAAGCACTTGATGGCTTCTCTTTGTCATATTCCAATTGCCAGCATCACTATAACCTCGCCTGATGCTGTGAGGATAAAGAAAGCGATGATTCTCGTCCAGGGTGCGACTGAGCAGGATAGCACATTTCAGCACGCTATGCAAACGAACTCCCAATTTAATGAATTGTTTATTTTTGGAATTGTCTAATATTTTAGACCTTGGTTGACCACTGATCACTGCAACTACAGAAAGTAAGACTGAAGAAAGCTAAACCATATTGAGGGAGGGCAGAACGTGGAGCTACTATAGTCATAATGCCTACGACCTGTTGTGCATCAGCTTTTCACCAAACATTACAGTTCCAAGAATCAGAAATCCCAGCTTAAAAAAAGAAAAAAAAAAAAGTTTTGTTTTTTTGTTTTATTTTTTGGTGTTTCTATGACCCAGCCCAGTGAAAAGGTTAACTGGAGAACACAGGCTTGAGACTTACAAAATCTAACAAATGTCAAAGGGAAAGCTCATTCTGATAGCCTAAGCCCTGCACAAACATGCTCCCCTTGAGTGTTTTTTTTTTAGTTTTTTTTTACAGAAATTCCTGAAAACCATCACCCCTGCACAGCCCATCAAGAAAGGAAGTCTGGGGCCAGCAGAAGGACAAAGGACAAGGCCATAAAACTTGGACAGGACATTGTATGATACCTGGGGCAAGCTGAAGCCCTGTCTGCGGCTCTCCCTGAGCACATAAAAAGCCTGCTCCCTCCCCAATTCACCTCTGGCTCTTTCTCGAGTCAGACCAACTGCACCCAGGTGTCTCAAATAAACATCATTTTGATTACACTAAGTCTTTAGTCCATTCTGTGTGATCCCAGCCCAACCCTGAACCTTTCACCTAGTACTTGGGCCATGGTGACAATTAAGAAATGCATTTTAGATGGGATGAAATGCTACCCTGTTTCCCCGAAAATAAGACAGTGTCTTATATTAATTTTTTCTCCCAAAGTTGTGCTAGGTCTTATTTTCAGGGGATGTCTTATCTTTCCATGCACTAGGTCTTATTTTCGGAGGATGTCTTATTTTCGGGGAAACACAGGTAGTAGCAGAGGCAGGTATATTACCTTTTCCTTATTTAATATTTCTGGAACCTACCATTTCCTGCTTTTAGAGAGGAAAAATATAGTCAGGTCATATTTTACCTTCTCTTGCCTATCCACAAAGTAGTGCACATTTTCTTGTGTGTGTGTGTGTGTGTGTATGGAAGGGCATATGGCACTATAAAATATTTCAATATATTTTTCCAGCAAGAGCTATTGAAGTTAACATGAATCATTAGGAACCCATATGTTCTCCTGAACACAAGCTGTTGCTGTTTTTTGAATCTCTGCTTTCGGATATTGTTATTTATCCTTTTATTTAGGCCCCATCTTCCCACTTTGACTAAAGTTCTTCAATAACAGTAATCATTTTTTATACCTCATAATTGCTTCATTGATTAGCATAGCATTCATTCATTTCATAGGATGTTTTTGAAACATTCTAGGCATTGTGTAACTCTAGAAAACAGACAGGAACAAGATATGGTAGTAGCACTATGAAACAAAATCTGAAAAGAAATAAAAGAGTAAAATGTGTAAAAAAAAATGCCAACAATTAAAAGTGAAAGAAAAATAGAGAACAGGAATAATCATGTGTCAGATTTTATAAAAAGGATTGCTCCTCTCCTCATGGGACTTGCAGTCTGGTGGGGAAGGCCTTCCTTCCCTGGCTGCTGGCACTGGCTTCCCTCTGGCACCTGGGACCCGGGCTGGCTTCCCTGCAGGCACCCAGGACACAGGGTGGCTTCCCTCGGGCCCCAGCTTCATTAGGAAGGATGTCCAGAATGACGTCCGGTCAGTTAGCATATTGCCCTTTTGTTATTATAGATTAATATAATAAATACATTAAACATGGAAGGCAATGCACTATGTGCTTTAGATGAATTATTTCATGTAATTATCAGGACTTTCCCCAAAAGAATTAAAAATCTCTAATATGTGGTTATGTAAGCCATATGAGGTTTTTCTGTTGTCACTTCTAATATTTCTCTTTCATATGTGAGGAAGCTAAGGACTAGTGTAGTTTGCTTTGGTAAGCATTAGATCACATTGGACCTCCTGTTAGGTCTGGTCAAATAAGTTAATCACTATCCCTACCCCAGGAACTGACTTTTCAGGCCATTTCACTATGGACAGTCCCTTTTGTTGAGACCACACTTCACTTGCTCCCCTCTGGACCTGCACAGAGAACTCTCTGCCCAGAAAAAGCCCACCAAAAGTCTTTTAAAAACCGTTGATTCACCGAAACCGGTTTGGCTCAGTGGATAGAGCGTTGGCCTGCGGACTGAAGGGTCCTGGGTTCAATTCCGGTCAAGGGCATGTACCTTGGATGCGGGCACATCCCCAGTAGGGGTTGTGCAAGAGGCAGCTAATCAATGATTCTCTCTCATCGATGTTTCTAACTCTCTATCCCGCTCTCTTCTTCTCTGTAAAAAAATCAATTAAAAAAACACACAAATGCTGACTCCCGGCACTGGTGCTGGAGCCATTTAGGCTCAGCCACCTGGTGTGCGGATGACCCAGTAAATTTGTAATCCCTCACCATTCTGGCCTCCTGCATTCCTCCTTCGGAGCCCTAACACTTCTTCAACTATTAAGGAAAGATGGTAGATGACTTTTCATATAAGGACTTGTAAGAGGAAGAAGAATATGAAACCCAGTTGGGAACTCTCTTGTTTCTCTTGATTGTGTGTCCATTGTATTGTAACTTCTTGAGGTGAGGGACTTTATTTTACACATATTTGTATCCGTAATTCCTGGTACAAAATAACTATTTAATAAATACACTTTCAGCCCTACCTGGTTTTGCTCCATAGTTAGTGTAGGCCCACGGACTGAAGGATCACTGGTTTGATTCCTGTCAAGGGCAGTTACCTCAGTTGCAGGCTCAATCATAGGCCCAGTCCTATGCAAATGGAACCAATCAATGTGAGGGATGAGTTGATGTTTTTATTTTTAATGTATTTTATTGATTTTTTACAGAGAGAAAGGGGGAAGGATAGAGAGTTAGAAACATAAGTGAAAGAGAACCATTGATCAGCTGTCTCCTGCACACTCCCTACTGGGGTTGTACCCACAACCAAGGTACATGTCCTTGACAAGAATTGAACCTGGAACCCTTCAGTCTGCAGGCCGACACTCTATCCACTGAGCCAAACTGGTTAGGGTGATGTTTCTCTCTCTCTCTCTCTCTCTCTCTCTCTCTCTCTCTCTCTCTCTCTCTGTTTCTCCCCTTCCCTTCACTCTTTCTAAAAATTAATAAAAAAAACCCTCAAAATTCTCTGGTGAGAATTAACAATAACAAAAAATAAAAATATGAATACTTTCAATGAATGAATGATTGAGCTGGAAAACTTGCCTTCAGCAAGTTCCAATATAATTTCTTTAAAAAAGGTTTTATAAAATAGTTTATTAAAATCAGTGATATTCATTAAGAGAAAGAGCACAGTGGCAATTCACATTGACACCACCACTTCCTTGACAATCCAACAGTCAGAATGGAAAACCAAATTTTTAAAAAGCTTTATTGTTGAAAATATTACATATGTCCCCTCCCCGCCCCTTTGGCCCCTTCTAGCCCGCCTCTGCCCCTTCCCATTTCTCCCTCTCCCCAGGTCTTCACCACCCTATTGTTTGTGTCCGTGGGTTATGCTTCTATACTTACAAGGTTGATCTCCTCTCACCCACCCACCCCACCCCTCCCTTCCCTCTGAGATTCCTTTTTTTCCTTGACTTTACTCATTATAGTGCTGTAAAATATTTAATAGGATTGCAGAGCTGAAAACAACAACACACGTTTGAGAGATCATTTAGTTTAGTCTAACAACTAGCCGGGAGCCAGGTCCCTCCCTGCACATTTTTCTAGCCAGACAAAGGAGGAGCATTCTATCGATAAATTCCCTGGGCAATCCTTACTTATCTTTTTGAGAACCAGATTCTGGACTGGAAGTGAAGAAAGGAGACTAGTTGCTTCCTCCTTCTCTTCCCTTTCCCCCCCCCCCCCACCCTTGCCCCCCCCCCCCTTTTTTTTGTGTGTGAATAACCGAGAGCTAGAACTTTTCAAGATAAACTTTTTAAAGGCGTTTCTCCCGAGGGGCCGGGCGAGTTTTCCTTTCCTGGCCATCGCTATTGCCTCCCTCTGGCCGGGATTGGCTGAGCATCAGCTAGCAGTACCTTGAGGGCGGAGAAACCAGCCTCCTGGGAAGTAACCGATCCTCCGGGCCTGGGTGCAGGACGCCTTCAGCCCCCGGCAGAGCCGCCGCTCCCGGGAGCGATGTGGAATCCCCTTCACGACGCCGACGCGGCCGTGGTGGCCCTGCGCCGGCCGCGCTGGCTGTGCGCCGGGGCGCTGCTGCTGGCCGCCGGGCTCTTCCTCTGCGGCTTCCTCCTCGGTAGGGTCGCGGGCCACGCACACCCAGAGCTCGCCCCGCAGATCCGTGCTCTGCGGGACGCGGGGTGCACAGCGATGTGGGGTCCCTGGGGCGGTGGTTTGGATTGGGGAAGGTGGGGATGAACCCCGCCAACTCGGTGGGGGTCCCTGGGGGCGGTGCAGGGTTGCGCTCTGGACAAGCTCCCGTAGGACAGGCTCCCGTAGGACAGGCTCCCGTAGGACAGGCTCCCGTAGGACAGGCTCCTGTAGGACAGGCGCCCAGGGTGAGGAGTAGGAGGGAGAGACCCTGCAACCGGACTTCCGAAGGCCCACCACCCTCTGGATCCCTGGGAAACCGGTATGTTGTAGGGGGAGCAGCAGGTTGTCCAGGGAGCTTTGCAGGAAATGACTCTTACCTGTTTGGGGTCTGTTTCTACTCCTGAGCTAAGTAAGATCCAAGGATCGGCTGCCTCCTGCATGCCCCTGACTGGGATCCAGCCCACAACCCCCACATGTGTCCTGACCACTGGGAATTGTACTGTGACCTCCTGGTTCAGAAGTCGATGTTCAGCCACTGAGCCACACCAGTGGGGCCCTTTCCAGGACTTAGAAGACCAGTGCATAGATTAGCTAGCTCCGTGCTTGGCAAACTGTGGCTCGGGAGCCACATGCGGCTTTTTGGCCCCTTGAGTGTGGCTCTTCCACGAAAATATTATACTATGCCTGGGCGAGTCTATTTTGAAGAAGTGGCGTTAGAAGTTTAAGTTCTAAAAATTTGGCTCTCAAAAGAAATTTCAGTCGTTGTGCCGATGCTATTTGGCTCTGTTGACTAATGAGTTTGCAGACCCCTGAGCTAGCTAGGTTAACTCAACTTAGCTCTCTTGCCTCCTGTGTGACAAGGATCATTAAAAAAATGTGAGCCACATCCTACTCATGCTAACATGTGGATATTAGTAACTGCTTAGGGTTGTTGTGGGGCTTAAGTGGGATAAGGGCTCAGTAAGGACACACTTCAAATTAAGTTTCATTGTTTTCAGTTGTAAAAATGGCAAGGTTGGCATGGGGATTAAAACCTGCATCTCTTCAGGGCATTTGATTCCGACTACAGCCCTCGGCCCCATCTTGTACTCATTGCTCAGTGGCTGACACGTTATTTTCCCTCCCCATTCCCTGCTCTCCCCTCTCCCACAAGCTTCCCTCCACTTCATCCAGTTCATTCTCCAGACCTCAGTTCCAGTAGTTAATCCTCGGTGTGTCCTTCCCAGACCCCACAGGCTAATCCTTTGTTTCATGTACAGGTGGAACTGGAATGCCACTTGCTGCCAACCATTTATTTCAGTACGTCTGTGTGCGTGAGTGTGTGTGAGAGATTAATAACTGGAAAGCTGAGTGCTGACTTTGGTAACTACTTGATGCCCAGGTCATATTATTTCTCTAAACAAATCCTGCAATCCTTTCCCTGAGTTTAAAAGCCAACTATAAGAGCTTCCTTCTCTTAGTCTTCTGGCTACCCATTGCCTCTGGCCTGTGTGCACTGGGTTTCTTGCCGAGATGTTGGGTAAATTATCATTTCACTATGGCTTTCTGAAGTTGAACTCAAGCCTACTTCAACTGACAACATAAAAGCTTACCTTGTTTCCCTTTAGTTTTGAGACAAAACAAATGACAGGTCTGAGTTTCCTTTAACTCTTTGAAATAACTTAGGTACTTGAAACATATTCATAATTACTTCATTATAAACTTTGACTAAGAGCTTATTCTGTATCAGCAGAGAGCAATCCCTGGGGAGAGAAACTTTAAGGAGAAAGAAGATGGAGCTCCTGATAACCTTAATTTTCAAGAGATCTTGTTTATCTCCATTAGTTGAAACATTTAATTTTAGTGTGGATTTCCTCATAAAACATTTCTTAAAATAATAGTAATCTAATCATTGAAATCAGATGAAAATATGTAGAAATTGATTTATAATTTAAGAGTCTATGTGCATGATTTTTTTTTTTTTCTGTAGAAGTAGGCAAAAGAAATTAAATCTCAGAAAATTGCAATGGATGCTGGAGATCATTGGCAATTTATATTTTACATATGGTAGATAAAATAATAAAGAAGAATAGGGCCTGCCTCTGAGCTCACTTCTCATTTCTATATTTGTATGTATTCTACAGGATGGTTTATAAAACCCTCCAATGAAGCTCCTGACATCATTCCACACCATAACATGAAGAAGACATTTTTGGACGAACTGAAAGCTGAGAACATCAAAACATTCTTATAGTAAGCATATACTTGAAAAGTTTATATGGACAGTTTGTTGGAAAATTTAATCTGTTTCAAAGTTTTGATCCAAAATTACATATACAAGAACTGATTGTTGAAAAGCTTTATTTGTTGAAGATCTTCTGTCACATTTTATCTGGAAAGGGTTATGTATTGCAGCTGAACTAGACCGGTATCGATGTTTGAAAATAGGAGTCAGCCAACTCTTTGGAAGGCAGCTGCTTTTATAGGCCAGCTAATCTCTGTCTCAAACGCAGCTCTGCTATTGTAGCACAAAAGAAGCCATAAAATCTGCATAAATGAACAAGTGTGGCAGTTCTGATAAAACTTTAGTTATGGACACTAAAATTTGAATTTTATATAATTATGTCACCTATTTGAATTATTTATGACTTTTCACCTATGAAATGTGATGACCTTTCTTAGCTGTGGGCTATACAAAACCAGGAAATGTGCTGGATTTGGTTGGTAGAATTTGTTTTCTTCTGTTTTAGAGGAAGATAATATATTCTGGTCAAAATAATAAATGTGGACTTAAATTTAAATTTGACTTTACATTTCATCTTTGCCCTTTGATAGCGAAGTAACTTTGAGCGAACACTTAACCTTCCTCAGCCCTCCATTTTGCATCTATAACGTGAGGACAGTGATACGGCTGTGATGAGGATGAACTTAGAGAGCATATATGTGACAGTTTATAATCTAGCTTCCTATTTCCTGAAATAGCTACCTAGTGTAGACCCAAAGAAGTAATTGAGTAAATTAAAAATGTATTTGTAAAGCAACTAAAAATAAAACCCTTGTATAGAATGAATATATATATACATACACACACACACACACACACACACACATATATATATATATATATATATATATATATATATATATAGTTGATTAGAATTTTAGCTTTTCAAAGCATGAAGTTCATTTCTTTATTTTTAAGTATGTTTATTTATTTTAGAGAGAGGAAAGGAGAGGGAGAAAAAGCTAGAAATATCAATGAGAGAGGAACGTTAACATCAATAGGCTGCATTCTGCATGCCTTCCTCTGGGTATTGAGCCCGCAACTCTAGAATGTGCCCTGACCGGGAATCAAACCAGTGACCACTTGGTTCATAGTCTGAGACTTAACCACTGAACCACACCAGCTGGGTGAAGTCCATTTTTTAAAACAAATTTGCTTAGTGCATGTGTTAAAAAAATATTTAAGACCATTATAATGATTGAAAGAGTCCTTAGTTATAATTTATTTAAGAAGAGTTTTATATATATATACATACATGTGCATAGGTGTGTACACACATAATCATCTAGACACATATGCCTATTTTAATTTTGATAGAATTAGAGATAGAGATAGGCAGGGAGCTACTGGAGGGCTTCAGCAAGCTACTGGCGAGCTACTGGTGCACACATTTGTGTGCCAGGCTACTAGTTAATTATAATAGCTATAATTAAAATGCAAGTCTGGCAAGGTTTAACATTTTTTCTTAGAGCTGCTGTCCCTACTTCCTTCTCTCTTTCCTTTCCTGTGGTATGGATTGGCCAGCAAAGAATGAAAATGTCTTTTGTTTATTTCTTTTTTTGGACTCTTGAGCAAGATTGAAACAGTCAGCATCTTGCTTATTCTCTATGGCCCTGACCAGGCTGTTCTTACGTTCAGAATTCAAGGATGTTTTTATTTTTTATTTTATTTTTTTAATATATTTTATTGATTTTTGTACAGAGAGGAAGGGAGAGAGATAGAGAGTTAGAAATATCGAAGAGAGAGAGTCATCGATCAGCTGCCTCCTGCACACCCCCTACTGGGGATATGCCCGCAACCAAGGTACATGCCCTTGACCAGAATCGAACCCGGGACCTTTCAGTCCTATTCATTAAGCCAAACTGGTTTCGGGGAATTCAAGGATGTTTATCATTAATACATAAAAGGAAGAAATTAAGAGAATCTTCATTCATCCCTCCAAGGACTGCAGAATCTCCAGAAGCCTTCTTAGCTCTCCAGATTTCTAATCTGCCCATACAAATTGTTAGCAATTTTAAACAATTTAGAATTATTACTATTTTTGTAAAAATTGGCATTCTTGTAGGATCAACAAAATTGCTTGTGACATACTTCCCAATTGATTAAAACAACAAATAATGTCAAAACTGCTGTTTAATGTCAGTTATCTAATTGAGCCTCAAATTTTTGAGAACTAGTGAGGTGGCTACAACCTCCCATGTACAGATGAGAACTTTCTGCCATGGCCAGGATTACATATGTTAGTGGCAAAACCTGAAATACAACCACTTGTCTGATTTTATACCGATTAAATTACTTATTCTTGGAAAGGAGTCTTTTTCAGAATTAGTTTTGCTCTAAATGAGTGGGTTCCACCCTGATCATAGCACATGGTTGCATCCTAGTTGGTCCTCACCAAAACTGATAAAAGAAGTTTCAATAATATAGAAAAGTGTGATAAAGTCTCTCTACTTTTTTTTTTTTTTTTTTTTTTTTTTTTTTTTTTTTATGTGAGCATGTTCAACACTCCTCATAACAACTCTTCTTGCTTATAGGGACTTTAGGAAATATGCCTAATCTGTATCTGCTTCAGTTATGTCACAGTTTGTGATCTGTGTAAAATAGAAGAAAATAGCAACATGTTAACTATTTTACTGTTTTCTTTGCAGTAGGTATACACTGATGAAAGAATAGATACACTTTTCAGCTGCCTCATAAATTTCTGTTCTTTTCCCAGAGTAAGTAAAAGGGAGGAAATAATAAAGATTAGAGTGGAAATAAATGATTTAGAGACTAAAAAAATCCACAGCAATATAAAAGATCAATGAAACCAAGAACTGGTTCTTTGAAAAGATAAACAAGGTTGGTGAACTTTTAACCAGACTCATCAAGAAAAAAAAGAGAGTGGACTAAATAAATAAAATTGAAAATGAAAATGGAGAAGTAACACCTGACACCTGAAATATTGATACGGGATTTTTGGACTGGAACTTGAATTCTTTGTCCACCAGAATCAAAGATTGAATCCACAGACAGAAAGTGGTATAGCAAAGGTTGAAATTTATTGAAGAACAAATACAGACTCCCATGTGGGGAGAGGGAAAGAGTCCCACAGAATGAACTCCCAAGTAGGGACGGGGAAAGGGTCCCCCTGAGTTCCTTTTCCCTCTGGCTTATAAAGGCTGCAGATTCTGGTGCCTTGATATCCCCTCTGATTGGTCACTATTCCCTTGGACTGGTTACTATAGTAACTACTGGGCTCAAAGGTTGAATCTCACTTGGGACATGTGAGGATTCCCCCTCTTCTTATTGTTTTCCTATTCGCTTTGGGCTTTCTTCCTCTCCTTCTGAATGAAGGGCTTCCTTCTCTTTATTTTGTAAATATAGACCTTTTGCTGTTCCCAGCTCCCTCATTCTATGGAAATGTACCTGTTGCAAGCTTTCCAGCTCCCCATACTAAGGGAATGTACCTTGTGCTGCTCTACAGCCCTGTGCTTTCCTCCACAGTCTCCTTAATTTCCAAAATTTATAAAATTTCTTAAACCTGTCCCATCTTACTCCTAAAATTCCTGTTTCAATATGAAGGATTTTAAGGAAATATTATGAGTAACTACCTGCCAACAAATTTGACAGCCTGGGCGGATAAAATCCTAGAAACATACAATCTTTCATGTTGAATCTGGAAAGATCAGAAAACCTGAATAGACCAATTACAACTAATAGAATCAAAATAGTAATAAAAAAAAAAACTCTTACCAATTTAGTACAAATATTCTAAAAATGTTGGGAAGCAAGACAATTGGTTGGAAAGTTTGTAAGGAGGACATTCTGATAAAAGGGAAGTGTGTGGACGGCCACCTTCCCTGTTTATTGGAATTCCAATTTAAGGGAGACTTAGGGGAGTGTCCAGGCAGCACCTCTAATTATTCCTTGGCCTTTCCAAATAAGCCTCTGCATATGCAAACCTCAGGTGTTTACTGGAATTCTTATGCTTAATCCCTGGGTGCCCTCGCCTAGAGGACAATGTAAACACATGTGTCCTCCCAAGATTACTCATCCTACTGACTGTATCTAAAGATAAACATTCTAATAAAAGCCCAAGAGGCAAGTACTTGAGGCTGTGTTGTGGGGTCAAACCCTGGGTTCAAAATAAGACCACCGGAGGCTAATGATTTAATTTAAAAAAGCAGGCAAAGATTTATTGAAATATCTGGCCAGGACAGCCGCAAGAGCACCACACGCAGGTGGACTCCACACGACTGCCTTGCTTCAGGGGCAGGTAGTTCTTTTTAAAGGTTCTGAGAAGAAAAACCCCTATTTTGTAACAAAATGTTCTTTGGAATTTTCTACTGTTCTTCCTAGATAAAATGTTGCTTTCTAGTTTGCTTTAGCCCATTTGAAGAATGATGAAGATAAACTTAGCTGTCTGACCTTGTAGGCCAGAGACCAGATATGTCCACAATCTCAATACCATGCCAGGTGCACTTTTTCAATTGGATAGAACTGAATTGTTTTCAAGGTCAGCATCGAGATAACCACTAAGTGCACATAGGGCTGGCTCTTTAATAATAATAATAAAAAAGGAAGTTCTGCCTGTAACTACCCTATTGTTTAAGCAAGTACAGTAAGTGAAGGTCAAAGTCAGAATAGTAGGGTTAAAATTCAAACAGTAGTTTTCACCCAAGTATGATTGCTACCATATTTCAGCTGCCTGGCTTCTTCCACCTGGCCCTTCCTTAGCCCTCTCCCCCTTAGTGAAACTGTGTTGGAGTAATCTGTTCATCCATTGTTCAGGAGCTGCTGATTAGTCCCTGCAAAAAAATGTAGATGGAACCACAAAAGACTCTGAATAGCCTCAGCTAGCTTGTGAAAGAAAACCAAGGCTGGAAGTATCACATTACCTGATATCAAACTATACTACAACACTATAGGAATCAAAACAGCATGATATTAATACAAGAACAGGCATTTAGATCAATGGAACAGAATAGAGTACAGAAATAAACCCTACATTTGTTGTTATTTAATATTCGACCGAAGAGGCAAGAATATCCAATGGGGTAAAAGACAGTCTACTAAATGGTGGTGGGAAAATTTTTACATGTACATGCAAAAAATGATACTAGATTATCAACTTACATAACACACAAGAATAAACTCAAAATGAATTATAGGCTTAAATGTAAGTCAGGAAATAATAAAAATCCTATAAGTAAAAAGGCAACAAAATTTCAGACATTTCTCAGGGCATTATTTTTGCAAATATATCTCCTGAAGCACAGGAAACAAACAAACAAACAAACAAAAAAAAATGGGATTACATCAAACCAAAAAGTTTTTGTACAGCAAAACCATCAACAAAATGAAAAGAAGCCGAAACCAGTTTGGCTCAGTGGATACAGCGTCGGTCTGTGGACTGAAAGGTCCCAGGTTCGATTCCAGTCAAGGGCATGTACCTTGATTGCAGGCACATCCCCAGTAGGGGGTGTGCAAGAGGCAGCTGATCGAGGATTCTCTCTCATCAATGTTTCTAACTCTCTATCCCTTTCTCTTCCTCTCTGTAAAAAAAAAAAAAAAAAAAAAAAAAAAAAAAAAAAAAAATCAATAAAAAAATACAAAAAACAAACAAACAAAAAAACAAAATGAAAAGGAAGCCCACTGAATGGGAGAACATAATTGCCAATGATAAATATCTGATGAGAGGTTAAATTCAAAAATATATAATGAAATCAAATAACTCAACACCAAGAAGAAAAACAACCCAATTGAAGAAATGGGCAAAGGACCTAAATAGACACTTACCCAAAGAGGGCATACAGATGGCCAATAGACATGAAAAAATGCTAAAAGTCACTAATCATCAAAGAAATGCAAATTAAAACCAGAGTGATATATCATCTCAGGCTTGTCAGGATGGTTATCATCAATAAATCAATGTACAAATGTTGGTGAGGATGTGGAGAAAAGGGAACTCTTGTGCACAGATTGCTATAGACATTGGGGAAACAGTATGGAGGTTCCTGAAAAAATAATGGAAAATAAATAATCCCATTTCTGGGAATATATCTGAAGAAACTCAAAACACTAATTTGAAAGACTATATGTACCCATATGTTATTGCAGCATTGTTTTCAATAGACAAGATCCAGAAACAGCCCGTGTCCATCAATAGATTAGTAGATAAAAAGGCAGCAGTACATTTGCACAGTAGAATACTATTTGGCTGCAAAAAAAAAAAAAATTACCTTTTGGGACAGCATGGATGGACCTAAAGATTATTATGCTAATGAAGTGAGTCAAATATATGATTTTATTTACATGTGGAATCTAATGAACAAAATAAAGTGACAAACAAAATAGAAGTAGGGGCATGGATACATGGAGCAGACTGACAGATAACGGAAGGGAGGGGTTTGGGATTCTGTATGAAAGAAGGTGAAAGGTTTAAGTAAAAACCAAAACATTTATACAAAACATATGGATTCAATGGTTTTTGATAGAGGAAAAAGGGTCAGGGCAGTAGGTGGAGGTCGGCAAAGGAGGGGGAGGGGGAGAAAAGAGTCTATGCTTCCAGGAGTGGGCACACAGTGCAATGTGCTGATGATGTTTTGTGGAGTCCTATACTTGAAAACTATGATTTTGTGAACCAGTATCACCCCAATAAATACAATTTAAAAAATTGTGTTTTTGCTTGGCTGGTGTTGCTCAGTGGTTGAGCGTCCACTCATGAACCAAGAGGTCACCAGTCAATTCCTGGTCCGGGCACATGCTTGGGTTTTTGGCTTGATCACCAGTAGGAGGTATGCAGGATGTTTATACTTTTCCCTCTCCCTCTCTTTCTAAAAATCAATAAAAAAAATTGTATTCTTTTGTTACTATATTTTGAAAATATACAATATAAATCCTATGTAAGTTGTTAAGGCCTTGAAATTTACTGAATGGGGATTTTAATACTATTATTGTAAATATAATTTGCAATATTTTAACATAAATATAAAAAGTAATCACAGGAATTTTTTAAATTGAGTTATTTTTCTTGGCAGTTGAATTTTCAAATTAAAAATTCAGATACACTGTAGAATTAAACTTTTGAAGTTAGAATCATCATAGCTATGTTGCCTATTAATTTTTTTAAATTGCCTTAAGAATGGCAGATTGATTTTAGTAAAACCTCCATATTTAAAACCAGAAATTTATGAAGTTCAAGAAGTTAATGAGCTAGAAATAAAGAAATGTCTTTACATGATATATGATGCTTTGACATGTGGAATTTTCTTTTTTCTATTAAGGAGTGTAAGTTGAAAATACCAATGAGCTGAATCTTCAAGGAAATAACAAATTCCAGGCAGAACATATTTAAAACACACAAAAACACACCAGCATCTACACATATATTTAATGAGGAATCAGTCTACAGATGAAAATTATATCTGTTAGCAAAAATATTGGTTACATAATTTAGTTTTTAAAGATATTTCTGGTTAAACTAATTCTCACCCTTGCTTTTTAAGTGTATTACTATGCATGATGGATAGAGTTCAAGAGGTTCAGTTTAAGCTTATAAATATGTAGGGTGGGTATGTATGGGGGGGGGGCAATGGTAAAATATGTACACAGATAATAAGTTAATAAAAAAAAAGTAAAAATAAATAAATAAATATGTTCATGTTATTCCTTGCCAATCGAAAGGTTTCTCACTTGAATATAACTTTTAATATTGAAATACTTGTAATTACCAGTAATTCTTGGCATGTTACAGCTTGGTATTTTGGATGAAAATATTTTTCTCTATGGAATATTTTGCACAGTGACATAATGATAGGCAATTCTATGAAAGTTTCAAGAGTCATAGCTCTTAAGAAAAGAATATGGCACTTCCCTTATCTGCTATTCAAAGATATGTCCACTGGGTCACATATAACAATTCTCTGCACAGATCAGTTTCTGCACTTTTTCCCTTCAATGAGTGCAAATTGGAGCATGAAAACTTCAAAATACACTTTGAAAATCTACTTGCTGCAATAATTCTACCATTTTCCATTTTTAATGTATCACATTTCAAAGTATTTTTATGTAAATCTGCCTTAATTGGTTGTTGATTTGAGATAGTCTGACTACACGTTAATTTCTAACTACTTTCAATTTTTGTTCGCCAGTAATTTTACACGGATTCCACATTTAGCAGGAACAGAACAAAACTTTCAGCTGGCAAAGCAAATTCAATCCCAGTGGAAAGAATTTGGCCTGGATTCTGCTGATTTAGCCCATTATGATGTCCTGCTGTCCTATCCAAATAAGACACATCCCAACTATATCTCAATAATTGATGAAGATGGACATGAGGTAAAAAAAAAAAAGAAAAAAAGAAAACAAACTTCCCCATCTATTCTTTTCTAATACTTCCTATGAAAGAATGCACTATCCATCTGTAGTTATTGATAGAAATCAATATTATTGAAACCGGTAAACGATGCCTTGAATATTTCATTACCAGTATCAACTTCCTTATGCTGTTTGAATTTAATGCTGATGTTGGAAAGATTCTGTGAAATTAATATTTGATAAGTTGATATTTTCTATTTTTTAGTATTGTACACGAACTTAAACTATGAGGTAATAGTAAAGCTCCCAAGTAACTAAAATTGATACATTTCTGAGAGGTTCAGACTATAAAAGTTACTGCATAGATTGGGGGATGCTATGAAAATCAGAGACCCAGTGGTTAATTTGAGCAAGAAAGTTTTTATTGGTTCTTAATGATTATGTCTCATATGGTCATATGGTCATGTGTTCAGCTCCATACCCAGAACTCAGACGAGAGTACTTGGAGGGAAAGTCTATAACATATCTAGTCTAAAGAATTTACAATCTTGTTTGCAAGTTAGGGCACATACTAAAAGAGAAGTCAGCCCTGGCCAGTTTGGCTCAGTGGCTAGAGCGTTGGCCTGCATATGGAAGGGTCCTGGGTTTGATTTCGGTAAAGGGCATATACACTGATTGCAGGCTCTATCCCTGGCATTGATGTGTCTCTCTAACATTGAGGTTTTCTCTCTGTTTCTTCCCTGCCTTTCCGTTCTCTCTAAATATCAATGGAAAAATAGCCTCCACGAGGGCCAACAACAAAAAAAGGAAGGTGGAGGGGGGAAGCAATCCATGTAATTGAGCTATTTCTTATCATGAAATGTATTAAGTATGAAAGCTCAGAACTCACGTATTGTTTGCTAGTTATAAGCACACCTTAGTTTTAGAACTACCATACCTAACAAAAATAGTCCTCTTCAATCCAGGTAGCGTCCTTCAGTTCTTTTCTTAGCTGGGGCTTCTAAATTTTATAAAGCTTCAAGTTTGTTTAGGTTGATTTGTGGTCAAGCTTGATCAATACTGATATTAAAAATATACCTATGCTTAAATCTCTGTCCTGATCTATCAAATTTGGGGATTCTCTATGTACAATCAGGAAAATAGTAAACTTCCAGTCCTTTTTGCCTTCGTTAACTACCAATTTTGATTGTAGCTTTGCTTTTGTTATTCCATTTCATTATTTTTGCCATTGCAAACATTTATGCAAGTCCTAAAACTTGTTACATAATATAATATCATGTATCATGTAGAAGTTTCCTTTTGGAGGTTTTCCTGAATGGTATTAGTTGCCTAAAGCTTCTTAATTTTTTTTTTAATTATACCACATAGTTTATCTTCATTTATGTTGTTTAAAAATTTATCTTTATTTTGAAAGTATTACAGATGTCTCTCTTTTTTTGCTTTTGCTATTGACCCCTTCCATCCAGCACCTCCCTCACTCCCTTTTAGGCCTTCACCACACTATGGCTATGCAAATCCTCTTATATAATAAAAGCCTAATATGCTAAGTATCCAGTCGTGGTAAGATGGAAAGACAGCTCTGGGCCAGAGTGAAAAGGCAGCTCCAGACTGGAGCGAAGGTGGTGCCAGCAGCTAGGGGAAGAAAGGCCCATTCTTGCACAAATCTTCTTTTATTGGGCCTCTAGTATCTAATAAAAGGCTAATATGCAAATCGACCGGACAGCAGAACTACTAGTTGCTATGACACATACTGACCACCAGAGCGAAGATGCTTAATGTAGGAGCTGCCTTTTGGTGGTCAGTGTGCTCCCACAGTCAGCCAAGAGCCAGGCTCAGAGCTGGTGAGTGCTGTGCCTCCGCAACAGCTCTAAGGATGTCCAGCTGACAGCTTAGGGCTGCCCCCCATGGCCTAAGCCATGATGGACATCCCCCAAAGGCATCTAGACTGAGAGAGGGTGCAGGTCGGGCTGAGGGGAGCCCTCCACACATGCCCCCCCCCCCGCCCCCTGCACCCCTGTGAGTTCAGGAATTTTGTGCACCGGGCCTCTAGTATGCATATAAATTCTATGGTTAATCTCTTCTTCCCTTTATCCTCCATCTTCCCTCTGGGATTCCACTACTTTCATTTTATGTTTTTATCCAAGTTACACCTGCCCATAAAGAATCACAGAATTGTGTAGTTCTCCAAAGTGCCTTGCTTCCTTCCTAGTTCCCCCTTTTCTGAGGCAATCACCTCAAACCTGAATTGATCCTTTTGATGTTTACCACTGTTTCCTTAAATAGCATGCTTATATTGGTTGTGTTTCAGATCCAGGCATTTTCTTTTGGCATCCTGATAGTTCAGCTCCATTTTCATCCCTTTGTCGTAATGCTCCCTTGCTGTCTCCCCAGTAAGGGGAGAGGGAGAGATAAATATCCTTGCCAGAGGAAAACATTGATTATCTGACTCCTGCATGGCCCCAACCAGAGACTGAGCCTACAACCCAGGCATGTGCCCTGACCATGAATTGAACAGGTGACTTCTTGGTGCATGGGTCAGTGTTCAACCATTGAGCAACACTGGCCAGGACAAACTGTAACTTTTATTCTCCTTTGCAACACAAATTCCACTTCCTACAGGCAACAGATATTAGTGTTTTGTAGATTCCAGAAATATGTTAAGTATATACAGACACATTTTTTTTTACCTTTGTTTATGTAGACATAATATATAATAAAAATTGAACTACATGTTGACTGGTTTATCATAACAAGTAAATAGAAATTTGAAAGTCAAAATTGTTTTAGTTATGCTTAGGATAGTTAATTTAGGGCCATATTAGTGAATTTTGGAAAGTGAACAATGTTCACTGGTATATAAGACTATATATATATAGTCTTATATACCAGTGAACATTGTTCACTGGTATATATAGTCTTATATACCATATATATATGACCTTTGAAAAAGTCACCCAAAATGGTTATTTCCTTGACTTTAAAAAACTTTTTGTAGTTGTTAGGATAACTCATGGTTATTTCCTTGACTTTAAAAAACTTTTTGTAGTTGTTAGAATAACTCATAAATGCTTTGAAATCCACTTGCTCTGTGGTGCTATAAAACTGAAGATTAGTATAAAGGCGAATCAAGTGAGACAAGCTTGCATTCTCCCTTGGCTGAAAGACTTGCTGATGTAGTGACTTCGTTTCTAGATGTATTTTTATTGCAATTTAGTATATTTTCTTTTATAATCCTTCCCAGTGATCCAGATGAGTTTGCACCCTTTGTGAATACCAGAAAAATTATGAGAAATCTGGCAGATGGAGGATTTTTGGAGGATAGTAGTTTGGTTTTATGTTAGGTTCTGTCATCCTCAGGAGAGGTAGCTTACTAGTGCTCCGATTTGTACAATATGTCAGCTCAGATTCACTCCCCAGCTCCCATCACTTGTACTGCTGCGCTGGCATAGTGTTCAAAGGAAGTGGTGATAGCACATATCCTTGACTGGAGGGAATGTTTTAATCATTAATTTTGATATTTGCTGTAACTATGTTTAGTAGGAATCAGATTTTTCAATTTCCAAACTACAAAAAGACATAAACTAACATAATTAACCTAGCAAAAAATAAAATAAAATAAGGGAACAGAAGCATTAGGGGAGAAAAGGGAGAGTAAAAATCATAAAATAAAAAAGTCTAAGTGACCTTACGTACTCTATAATGGTAACTACAAAATCATTTCATTAGGAATTCTCTGGGGCAATTTGTTTCCCCTCTACTGCAAGCCATCACTTTTTGTAGGACAGGTTTATTTCTAGTTTATTCTTAACCCTAAAGGATGTTGCTTTTTTTAAAAAAAATATACTTTTATTGATTTCAGAGAGGAAGGGAGCGGGAAAGAGAGATAAAAACATGAATGATGAGAATTATCCATCGGATCGGCTGCCCCATACTGGGGATGGAGCCTGAAACCCCTGCATGTGCCTTTGACAGGAATTGAACTGGGAACCTTTCCGTCTGCAGGCTGATGATCTATCTACTGAGCCAAACCAGTTAGGGCAAGGATGTTGCTTTTGAAGGCCCAGCTTTTACGCAGAGGTCTCCTGTTACACTCTATCATTTGGGTGGCCTCTGGACTTGTTTTCTAATGCCTTTGCCCTCCCATGGAGTCCCAAGCTTTGATAGATCCAGCTAAGGGGAAAAAATGATTTTATTGCTCATCTCAGAATTCCTGCTTTCATGTTATTCTTTTAGCTTCTGTTTCTTTCCTAACCTTCTCCCCCCCCCCCACCTCCCAATTGAATGATACACTTAAAAATATAATACTTTATGTTTGATTCAGTGTTTTAAGTTCTTTTCAGAGTGAATGGTGTTTATATATCTAGATACTATCAGATATAGATTCCCCGCAAAATGTGGTTTTTGTTATTGAAGTGAACTTAATATCTAATGTGTTCCCAAGCATTTATCTTTGCATTGTTCTAAGTCCATGGTTCACAAACTGTGGCTCAGAAGCCACATGCAGCTCTTTGGCCCCTTGAGAGTGGCTCTTCCACAAAATACTATGGCCTGGAGGAATCTATTTTGAAGAAGTGGCGTTAGAAGAAGTTTAAATAATTTGGCTCTCAAGAGAAATTTCAATCATTATCCTGTTGCTATTTGGCTCTGTTGACTAATGAGTTTTACGACCACTGTTCTAAGTGACTATGATTACTATACAATATAACTCTTCTATTTTTAGAATAAAATGTTTCTTCTAAAACAAAAGCTGGTATATATAGATTTTTCTCAGGGTCTGTGATTTCTTCATCTCATAAAAGCCTACTATAGCTTCTAGCACAGTGCTAGGTGTTTGATTTATATTTTCAAAATACTGAAGGATTGATTAGCCCTCTACTGACAAAAAAGATAATACATGGTTATCCTTATTTAATTGTAGAATCCGAATTTCACCTGATTTACTTTTGATTATTCTATTTCTCTAGGTTTTCAACACATCATTATTTGAACCACCTCCTCCAGGATATGAAAATATTTCAGATGTGGTGCCACCTTACAGTGCTTTTTCTCCACAAGGAATGCCAGAGGTAAAAATCTAATGCAATAAACAAAACAAAATAAACAAACAACAGCACCCCTCATACATCCAGGCAATAAATAAGGGGGCATTAAAAGGTTTTCTGATACATTCCACATTCATCCTTTTTCACACGTAAGAAACTAAAATTTCTTACTAAAAAAAAAAAAAAAAAAGGAATATTTATTATTGTGTTCATAGTATGTTATAAGATAAAATTTACTACATGATATGCATAAATCAGAATGTACATTTATTGACTTTTGACATATGCCTATGCCTGTGCAATTCATACTCCCTCTACATATAGGCCATTACTTCCAAAAGCGCTTTATGCCCCTTCTCAATCAACTCCACACACCCCAAGATCACCATTGTTCTGATATTTTTGCCTCTGTTGATTAGGTTTGCCTATTCTAGAAATTCATACAAATGGAATCGTATAGCATGCAATCATTTGTTTCTAGTCCTTTTTTTGTGAACCATAATCTCTGAGAGTCACATTTTAGCTTTTATCAAAGTTTGTTTCTTTTTACTGCCAAGTAATTACTATTGTATAAAATACAGTATCTCACTGTTGTATAGCACTGAAATTTTCAAATAATTCAAATAGTCATATTGTTGCCATTTTCAAATGAAGAGCATGAATGTCCATTCTAGAGAGTCTTACGTGATTTGCCCAGTAAAGCACTGTGCATGCAGTCATCTGAAATTGTACAACTAACCCCCAGGTATTTGCACAGTATTTTGCTTTTTATGAGAAAGCTATATTTGAAACAGTTGAATATAATCTATTAGTATATTTTATAAGTTTTCTCTCCTGCCATAATATTTAATATGAAGTAAATTCAAGTTTGAACACATGGATTTTTAAAGTGCCTAGGATATATTCATAAGAAGTTGCTAATTCATATTATTTTTATTATTTTCGAATGTATTTGATTAATTAACTTATTTATAATTTTAAAATGTCACAAATTTAGAAGGATTATTTTTGTTGTATGAAATTTGCTTTAAATGAATATTTGATATTTTACCTAATGATATATATTGGAAAAAATTTCCCTAAAATTATCACATAAACAGAATGTTTGCAATTATTTAATAATTTTATAGTTGACATGAGATAGAAATAAGGAATATAACAGTCAGCAATATTGTTTCTTAAATATTTGTTATTCATCTCTTATTGGTTTAAATATTGCAAATATCTTCTAATTTTTTCACCTATTTGTTACTTACATTGTTCTTTATTTAAAATAAATCTTTAGTTTTGATATTGTATAATTGTTATCTTTATACAATATGGCTCTCCATTATTAATCCCCTCCATTATTTATAGTGATATGTTTGTATAAGTGGAATATAAAAAAGCATGAATACATGTTTGTTATAAAAATAGCATAATACTACCAGATTGGAGTTAAATGTGTGTGTGTGTACACAAATGATATATAATAGCAAAGATTATAACAAATTTAATTTAAAACAGACATAAAAATAAATAAAATAAAATATAAAGTACATTTTAAAAATCTTTGGGTTAAATGAGTGTGAACTAGTTGAAGAACACTGAAATTTATTGATCAGTGAGAATATCCTATCTAATAAAGAGGGAATATACTAATTGACCCTCATGCTGTCACAAAGATGGTGGCATCCACAGCCAATAAAGAGGGAATATGCTAATTGAATGCCCCACCCTCAAAGATGGTGGTGCCCACAGACACAAGATGATGGTGCTCAGTCCCCTCAGCCCCCTAGCAACCCTAGGGCTGCCCGAGGCTCAAGTAACCAAGGCCGGCTGAGGCTTACACTGCCGGCAGTGGCAGCAGCAGAGGTGTGATGGGGTGTCACCTTCCTCTGATCACTGGGTTGCCTCCTGCGGCTGAGGTCTCCTTGACTGTGAGAGGGGGCAGGCCAGGCTGAGGCACCACCACTTCCATGCATCGGGCCTCTAGTTATGTATAAAGAGACATTGTATTTTTGGATGGGAAGACAGGGTTATAAAGAGGAAAGTATACCCACATTAGTTTGGGGTTTTCACATAAAACTCCCTAAAATTTTTTGAACTTTGACAGAATGATTCTACTCATAAAAGAGTCATAGTGATTATTAATTCATATTTTTCAAGTATACTTACACTGTTCCAGATTAATAGGAGGATGGAAGGAGCATATGTTTCTGCATGGGACTGCTATTTGTGTTCAAATATTAGATGAGTTTGCTGGCTGGTATACCTCACTGGGTCCCCTGTAACCCAGCCAAAGGAGTGTTAATTCTTTTAAAATTATGTCTGTTTGTCTGTATGTTTAAGGTATTTCCTGTTCGTAATTTTGCATCTTCATCTGAATCCTCTGGAGTATGAAATTCTGGGTTTTGCTTTAGCCTATTTGAAATTAGCAATTTGACAATGTCCATGAAATAGTCTAATCTAGGGTTCTCAAAGTTTAGCATGAATCAACGTAATCCAGAGTGTTTGTAAAACTCAGATTCTGGTTCCTACCCCTGAGTTGCAGTAGGTTATGGGTGAAGGTTGAGAGTTTGTTCCCACGGTCCCAGGTGATCTTGATTCTGAAGGTTCAAGAACCATGCTTTAAATACCACTGGTCTTGCCTGTCAGTTTTGTGTTCTATTAACAAGAGCAGAAAGAAGGAAGCTTGAAAGAAATGGAAAATTCTAGGCTAACAGTGCAAGATTGTATTTATTCCCAGTCATAGAACAATGGTGCAGTGTAAATTTTACAAGGTCATTGTCTGGAAACAAAGCTTTTTTTTTCTAATTCACAGTGGCAACTTGCATATTTATCACAGTGTTTTCATTTTCAAAGTTTATGTCATTTTTAAATGACTGTCTTCCTTAGTGAAAACTGCAGATTTATAAAAAAAATAGCCAAAATTTATAGAGATTTAAAGTAATAGTCTTTAAATAGGGATAAATTTCAAGTAGCATACAGAAAAACAAAATTCACTAAAATCAAATAATTGCTTCATTACTCTAGTCACAATTAGAATAAGAGTGAACTCCAAAGAGGCCTAACAGTGATAAATCAGACATACAGAACTATCATTAATGGTGCATTAACATTACATTGTATTAGGAGGAATAAAAGTAATCCTCTTACTGAAGCAAAGATTCAATTGCCACCTTCTCAATAGACTTTCCTTTCCTCCTTTTTATTTAAAATGGTCCAGCCTGAGTACCAGTTAATTGTTTGCCTACTCTATTTAAACTATTTAAAATATTTTTTCTACAGCACCTGTCATATTTTAATATACTGTGTCATTTACTTAATAACTTGATTGTTTATTATCTTATCTCTCCTTCCACATGTGTGTAAGTCCTTCAAGGTCAAGAATTTGGCATATCTCTAATTCCTGGAACTCTACTGAGCACATAATAAATTCATATATATATATATATATATATATCTTCAGATTTATGAAATCTGAGAATATACTTGGAAACAACTTCATTTTAGTATCATTATAAATTTGTTGTGCATATGCCATGAGAAATGTAGTGAAAGAGGGAAACAAAGATGTTAGAAATTGTCTAGGGACAGGGGCTTCAAGCTAGAATGTGTGAAGACTTTCCAAAGACAGGCATGGGACCATTTTAAAGAGATGAGTTGCATCATCTGTTTCTCAGTGTACTCTTCGATGGAATTGGGAACTGTCCTGTGGTGAGATCCTGCTGGTACTCTGTCACCATCTCCTTATTTAGAGTCTTTTTTTCCTCTCTTATTTATTTATTTATTTATTTATTTATTTATTTATTTATTTATTTTTTACATATGTTTTATTGATTTTTTTACAGAGAGGAAGGAAGAGAGATAGAGTTAGAAACATCGATGAGAGAAAGTCATCAATCAGCTGCCTCCTGCACGCCCCCCACTGGGGATGTGCCCGCAACCAAGGTACATGCCCTTGACCAGAATCAAACCTGGGACCCTTGAGTCCACAGATGCTCTGTCCACTGAGCCAAACCGGTTTCAGCCTTTTCTCTCTTATTAATAAAAGACATCTTCCACCCATTCTAAAACAATATAAAGCATATTTTTGATTTATAAAAAAAATCCCCATGGCTTCCCATAAAGAGATGCTAGTGCAAGATTCTAACAGTTTTTGCTGGGTAACAAAAGATTTGACAAAACATTTGTCAAAATTAAAGCTGAGTCTAATTGAGTTTCCTACTGGCATTGTTAGAATTAACTTGGATAATAGATCAGTGTATGATTTGGAGGTTGTAACGTGGAAGGAATTAAATAATTTAGTGAAGATTTCATGACAAAAAGTTTTCATTTCTAAACAAAGGTTTTTGAGAACTTAAATCTAAAAACAGGAAGTGTGAACAGAACTGATGCTTAGTCCTGTCTCATTCTAGCAATAGTGTGTTCATTCACAGATCCATGGCCTAATTTTTAATATTTCATAGCATCAAGATAAATTTTTCAAGTATAATTTGATGTTTAAGTACTATTTATAAAAAATTGTAATGATGTTGTTAGATACTGCTATTATTATAACTTACTTCTGGAGAATTTTCATTACACAGATAGCCTGTCATAGGCAATACTTTTTTATTGTTTTGTTTTGTTAATTCTCACTGAAGGATATTTTTCCATTGATTGTTAGTAAAAGTGGAAGGGAAGGTGAGTAGGGGGAAAAAAGAGAAAGGAAGAGAGAAACATCAACATGAGGGAGACACATCCACTGGTTGCCTCCCCCCATGCACCCTGACCTGGGCTAGAGATTGAACCTGCAACCGAGGTATGTGCCCTTGACTGGGAATCGAGTCTTTAACCCTTCGGATGTAGACCATTGCCCTAAACACTTCCCAACGCTGGCCAGGAGGAAATACATATTTTTAAAAATTCAATTTACATGTTAATCAAGGAAAATTTGCCAGTGATTACTAAAAGACTTTCAAGTATACCCGGAGACTGAAATGGAATTTACTAGCAACATGCTAAATGTTAATTAAGTAGTGTTCTCTTGGGATCAAAATTTTTGGCAGGGATGAGAAGGAAGCTGGATTAAGCAGAGGGAGAAGTTTCACCTCCATGCTAGCTCACGACACCCTCAGCTGACACGATGGGCAGCTCTGGAGTCAGAATTGCCCATCATATTGGTCCTGGGTTGGACTAAGATTTCCAGGTCTTAACACTTCCACATCCATCAATCATTGAATGTGTTGCATACTAAAAAAAGGACATGACTTTGAGCAAGGTGGCTGACACCAGAAGGCTGTGTGCTGAGAACATTCCCTGCAGCTGAAGCAAGAATCTCTCACTGACGTGACATCTGGCAGCAGATGCCAGTGCCCAGCACAGATACATTTTACTTTAGAGGAGAATGTTTTGGGGGAAGAGGGACAGAAGTTGGGGGGGAGGGGGAGACAATGATAAAATTCTGACTAAAGAGAATAGTGTATTTCAGTATTTTTTTAAAAATCACTTAAAAATATATATATATTTTATTGATATTTTTACAAAGATGAAGGGAGAGGGATAGAGAGTTAGAAACATCAATGAGAGAGAAACATTGACAAGCTGCCTCCTGCACACCCCTTACCGGAGATGTGCCTGCAACCAAGGTACATGCCCTTGACCCGAATCGAACCTGGGACCTTTCAGTTCACAATCCGATGCTCTATCCACTGAGCCAAACCGGTTTCGGCTAAAATCACTTTTTTTTTTTTAATGTATTTTATTGATTTTTCACAGAGAGGAAGAGAAAGAGATAGAGAGTTAGAAACATCGATGAGAAAGAATAATCGATTAGTAGCCTCCTGCACACCCCCTATTGGGGATGTGCCCGCAACCAAGGTACATTCCCTTGATCGGAATCGAACCTGGGACCTTTCATTCTGCAGGCCGACGCTCTATCCACTGAGCCAAACCAGTTTCAGCTATTTCTGTATTTTTAAAACCATGATATTGAATAGTAAATTGTAATAGTCTTTACATTTTTTTGGACACAAAAAGTGAGGAAAAATTCCTGGAAAAAATGTTAATACTTATATACTGGAAATTGCATCATCTGCAACTTCTTAAAGTTATGATAAAAAATTTTAGATGCCAACTTAAAAATACTGTTTTTCAAAGTCAGTGTAGGAAGTAGGTGAGCAAAATACGGTTAAAGACTATTGATCTAATCTAAAAGACCATTTTACAAATGAGAGTCCAGTCATATGCCACTGGGACATGTTCTGGAAAGTGCATTGTTAGGCAATTTCGTCATTGTGTAAACATCATAGAGGCACTTACACAAACCTAGACAGTAGAGCCAATGACACACCTAGGTTATATGTTGTGTCTCTGTTGTCTATGCTGTCCCTCATTGGCAGAAATGCCGTTATGGAGCAGGTGACTTTATTGAAACTCAGAGATGTTGTAAGACTTGCACATAATCATACTAATGATGTGAAGCCAGACCTTAGAGCAGTGGTATTACCTGACCTCCGACCTTTCTCCCCTACCTAGTGGTTGTGAAGACTCATTAAGCTACTGTTTCTGAACGTACTCCAAAGAGAATAAAGCTCTCATCAAGGACTTCTTAACCTAAGGTGTCTGGACCCCTTTAAATTGCATGCAGCAGTGTGTATAGTTATATACATTTCCTTCCTGGGGAATACTTCCATGGCTTTATAGCTGCTATAGAGGAGACATAATATTAAAAACAAACAAAAAACCTTGCTGTTAAATTCCTATGTCTAATCCAGCTAATTGCCGTCTGAATACAAGATCTTTCTCCCTGAATCTTTTATCTGAGGCTCATGTTTCTCTGACCCTCCTGTGTGCTCTTGCCTCTTCCCTATTTCAAAATGTGAAATAGTGCAGAGCAACCTGCTTGTATTCGGTTTCACTTGTTCTAAGTCATCATGATCTCAACAGGGTGACCTGGTGTATGTGAACTATGCACGAACGGAAGACTTCTTTAAACTCGAGCGGGATATGAAAATCAATTGCTCTGGGAAGATTGTGATTGCCAGATACGGGAAAATTTTTAGAGGAAATAAGGTAAAAAACATCTCCTTTTTGTTTCCCACAAATATAAAGTTATATTGTATCATATATGTAGAATCATATCCTTAAAACTTTTTGAGGATCATGATCTTCTCCTGTTCTGTAACATGCCCACTTTATAGCGAGGACACCTCTGCTAACTCATAGACTGGGTTTTTGTCTTATTAATATATATTTTTATTGATTTCAGAGAGGAAGGGAGAGAGAGGGAGAGATAGAAACATCAATGATGAGACAGAGTCATTGATTGGTTGACTCCTGCATGCGCCCTACTGAGGATTGAGCTCATAACCTGGGCATGTGCCCAGACTGGGAATCGAATCTGTGACCTCTTGGTTCATAGGTTGATGCTCAATCACTGAGCCATGGTGGCCGGGCTAGACAGCGGTTTCTTTTAAAATTTATTTATTTAATATTTTTATTGATTTCAAAATGTATGAATAATCACACCAAGCTGAGAGGAAGGGAGAGATAGAAACATAATGATGAGAGAGCATCACTGATTGGCTGCTCCTACATGCCCCCCACTGGGGATTGAGCCTGCAACCTGAGCATGCACCCCTGACCGGAATCCAACTGGGGACCTTCCAGTCCACAGTCCAACGCTCTATCTACTGAGCCAAACCAGCCAAGGCTAGACAGAGGTTTTGATGGGCCATTGCAATATGACTAGTGTGATAGATCAGGGAGTATAGAGCAGATTTTTTCCATGCCTACAAATTATGCCTATGATCTACAAAGAAGTGAGTGCTGGATTTGTTGTTAACCTTGATTTGGCAGCTTTTATTATAACATTAAATATTTGAAATATAACATAAAATATTTGAAAATATTTACTACATTTAATTTTAACACATTGTAGACCAGTAGTTTTATTGCTAGCTTTACCCAGTGGCCAGATAAGTTTCTGTTGAATGAGTACAAAAAAATAAATTTTAAATAAATATTAAAGGCATGCTTTAAAATTAAATACCCATTGCATTTTAAAGTTACTTATTACATGTTCTTACCAGCTAATATCTTTTTTTTTTTTTAAACATATTTTATTTATTTTTCACAGAGAGGAAGGGAGAGAGATAGAGAGCTAGAAACATCAATGAGAGAGAAACATCGATCAGCTGCCTCTTGCACACCCCCCACTGGGGATGTGCCCGCAACCAATGTACATGCCCTTGACCGGAATCGAACCTGGGACCTTTCAGTCCGCAGACCGACGCTCTACCACTGAACCAAACCGGGTTCGGCACCAGCTAATATCTTTTAAAGATTCTTGTGATTGGTTACAAGCTTTAGAACAGAAAACGAGAATTCTCGTGATCCATCTGCAATGTGTTAATATGAATTGTTATAGGTAATGAAAGAAACCAGTTTATATATACATAGCAGTTTTTAAAGTTATGATCACTTGATTTGTGATCATAACTTTAAAGCCTAAGTGACCACTATGGTGGAACAACCAGCCGCTATGATGCACATTGACCACCAGGGGGCAGACACTCAATGCAGGAACTACCCCCTGGTGGTCAGTGTGCTCCCACAGGGGGGGTGCCACTCAGCCAGAAGCCAGGCTCACAGCTGTGAGTGTAGCGTCAATGGCAGGAGCCTCTCCTGCCTCCAGGGCAGTGCTAAGAAGCAGCAAGCAGGCAGGTGGTAAGGAATGAGCGACAGCGAGAGGGGACAGGCCTGGCTGAGGGGACCACCCTCCAGTGCATGAATTTCGCTCACTGGCCTTCTAATATGTGTGTGTGTGTGTGTGTGTATAAAAAAATTTTTTTGTTCCCTTCTTCTTGGGAAATTTCAAAGGTATTCCCTTTCAACCATAGAAAAAATGGGAATCTGGCAGGCTTGTTGTGCTTTTAGACTAGTGACTAGTGGAAGAAAACAGCAGTACTTGCTATCACTAATGGGTACCTTATCCACATGTACTGCTTTTAAGGCTGACAGTTTAGAGCCTGTAGTAGGGTGGGGAAAAGCCAGTTCTCTGTGAATTATTCTTTGTTGTAGGACTAATGATAAAAGGTTAAAAATAAAAAGTTTGGTTACTTACTTAAGGATAATTTTGAGAAATGATATAACCAGATTTGAAACAATCAACCTGTGATAAGAGACATTGTGTTTCACAGGTTAAGAATGCCCAGCTAGCGGGGGCCAAAGGACTCATTCTGTACTCAGACCCTGCTGATTACTTTGCTCCTGGGGTGGCTTCCTATCCAGACGGTTGGAATCTTCCCGGAGGCGGTGTCCAGCGTGGCAATGTCTTAAATCTTAATGGTGCAGGTGACCCTCTCACACCTGGCTACCCAGCAAACGGTGAGCCATCAGGCCTTCATTGTCATGGGAAACTTAACACTTTAAGTGATTTTATGAAAGGACTTCCTTTGACAGCATAGTATGTCTTTTTCTTATTCTATTTGCATCTAAGAAAAAAAAAATGAAAGAGGTTTGAACTCTGAATATTATCAATTCCGTTCCCTTGTCCCTTGTTTGGAGCCCCTGGGCCTGATGGGTTTTGGAATTCAGACATTTAAAAGTACTGCAGTGCATATACCGTACATTGTGTAACACTTAAAGAGAGGCTGGGACAGTACAGGAAGGAAATATATGGCTAATCACACCAAGCTGGGTTAAAGAAATAGTATGAGTAGCCTGTGTCTGCTTAAGTCAGATTTTGCTGTCCAATGAATTTACATCAAATCAGGTTGTGTTGCCAAGTGACTCTCCTCTAAATGCATGGTTTTCACAGTTTTGGAATTTCACAGTCATGGATAAAGGATAGTAGAACAGAAGCTCTATAATCCCTTGAAAAGGGACATTTCAAACACAGAGTTCAGAAAATGCTTAGTACATTTTTGTGATATAAAGACAATATGATAACTTTCAAGGAGTGTAATGCTCTTTACCTGCATTAGCAATCCTTCAAGCTTGGTAGTATTGTTCTCTCTATTTGACAGAAGGTGGGCATCTGGCTCGCAGAAGGAAGCAGTGTGCCCCAGATTACGACACCACTAAATGAGCAGTGGGGGTTCAGAGTCAGGCAGTCTGGCTCCAGAGTCCACATGCTTGTCTGGTGCTGAGATAGTTCCCTACAAAACTGTAGATCATTAACAAGGGAAGTGAATCCATTTGAATGTGCTTAGTTTGTGTGGTTTAAAACTAACTGAGCTGTATAACTTGGATAAAATCTGTTGCCAAGTGTCTGTTGTTGTTGTTTTTAATTCTTTATCTCTTTACCAAATTGTAGATTCCTCTAAAGCTTATGTACTTTGACTTTGTAAATCACATAAATATACTGAGACTTATGTCACCCTCTAATTTAAAATGATATTTTTTTAGGAAGGAAAGTCATGTTATTGAATTCCCTTTGGTGCTGCATTTCTATATATATATATATATATATATATATATATATATATATATGTGTGTGTGTATATATATATTATTGATTTGAGAGAGAAAGAGAAACATCAATTTGTTGTTCCACTTATTTATAATTCATTGGTTGATTTCTTGTATGTGCCCTGACTGGGGATCAAACCCATAACCTTGGCATATGAGGACAATGCTCTAACCAACTGAGCTACTTGGCCAAGGCCTGCTCTATTCTTTAAAAAAAAAAAAAAATTAACTTTTTATTATGGGTCAGTTCAAAAATATATATTATACATAATATACATAACATATAGCATATAATGCATGATAAAAGGTAATTATCAACAGTCAATTGTCAATCTTGTTTCATCTGTTCATCCCCATTTGCTTATTTATTTATTTATTGTTATTGCTCTAGAGAGAATTTTAAAACAAATGTCATGTGACATATTGTCATTTTACCGATAAAAAGAAAAATATTTTGTAATCATGTGAAGTTCTTAGTAGATAATTTAAAATTTTGGGGGGAAAAAAGAAAAATTGCTTTCATTATTTTTGAATCTAAAGAAATGACAGGATGTTTCTATTTTGAAGTTGTTTATAAGCACTAAAATTCACAGTTTTTTAGAGTTCAGTTCAATAAATTATAAAACTCGCATCCATCTATGTTACTCCTTATAAAATTTAGCGCACTGCACTTTCATGAGTTCAGAAAGCTCTGGTTGTTTTTACTGCACACTCAGAAGCAACCACTTTCTGATGTCTGTCACCATTGGTTAGTTTGCTTGGTTTGGGGCTTAATATAAAATCAATAAAACAGTATGTATTCTCTTATGCCTTGCTGCTTTTACTGAATATAATGATTTGAGATTTATCCATGTTATATTAGTAGTTTGTTCTTTTTTGTTGTTGCCAATTGTCACTCAAGGATATTTTTTATATTGAATTTTAGAAAGAATTGAAGGGAGGGACTGGGAGAGAAAGAGAAACATCTATGTGAGAGAGACACTTTGGTTGCCCCCTGAATGCGACTTGACAGGGTTTGTGGTGGAACCCACAACCCAAGTTCGTGCCCTTGATAAGGAATTAAACCTGAAATCCTTTGGTGGGCAGGCTGATGCTCTAACCACTGAACACAACAGCCAGGGCAGTGATTTGTTCCTTTTAATGACTGAGTAGCATTGTAATGTCTACAGATTATTTATTCATTCTCCTGTTGACTGACACCTGGACTATGTCCAGTATTTGGCTAAGATAAATTGGGCTATTCTAAGCAGTTTGCATGAATCTTTTTGTGGAGATATGATATGTGGTCATCTTTTTGATGAGAAACAGAAATCCTGGGGCATAGCGCATTTCTGTTTTAAATTGCTTTTCAAAAGAGTTATCCAATGTGACTGCACAATTTTACACACTCACAAGCACTGTAGGAGGTTTCCGCCGCTCTGCATTCTGGCTAACATTTGAAATTGCCTGTCTTTTTATTTCAACAATTCCAGTAGATGCAATATGAAAATATCTCCAACCTGACTTACAGAAAACATTTTGAAAAGGACCTACTTTTTATTCTTTCAGAATATGCTTATCGACGTGAAATCCCAGGGGCTGTGGGCCTTCCAAGTATTCCTGTCCATCCAATTGGATACTTCGATGCACAGAAGCTCCTGGAGTAAGTTTGTAAGAAACAAGCAGATGGCATACATCTCTTTATTGGTAGTCTTCAACTTTTAAACTTTTATCTCCATTATTTGATATTGAAATCCTCTGAGGTGGGTGAAACACTTAATTATATCACCATGGTATAGAATAATGGTTCTGTTCTGGAATTTACTTTACATATCAGTATGTCCTGTTGATTAGCTGTGAAAATGAGCCTTTCAGATCTCCAAATGCAGGGAGCATAACTGATCAACTGCTCCAGCCACTGTACCTGGAAATGCATCCATCACCCTGTTTGTGTGAGGGCCATGCTTCCCAGCTGCTCCCAGTCATCGCCTGAGGGCCTCAGGGATGCTAACCCAGGCCCATTATGGAAAGCCCTGACTCTTCTGATGAGAAATTTTGCCCGAAGATATCCTTGCTCAACTTGATGCTACTACCCACCCAGCACTCTTTTCTTCTTCTCTTTCTTTTTACTCCATATCAGACCTGCCTAGGCGTCCGATGGCTTTCTCAGTCTTCCCTACATCCCTTGCTGTTTTCCTCAGGGGTCTCTCCATCAATAAATCTCCTACTTATCTAATCCTCTTACTGTCTACTTCTTGAGGACCTGGAATAACTCACTGATACCAATTTCCATTTTGTTTTCCTTTCTGTTCCTCTTTCCCCTATGCTTTCATCATTGAAATGCCTCCACAGTGTGTTATTGCTTAACGTGGCACTGGGACTCTTTCCCCTTTCTCACCCTGCTTTCTCGTGTCTGCGTGTCCCTTGTTCTTCCTTATCCTTTAGGACTCGAGAGAACACTGACTTCTGAAAGTAGAATTGCTAGAAACCAGAGTGTCTGGTCAGTTAGTCAGACACTGTGGTCCCTAGTGTCTTTGAGTTCAAGACATTCTTGATCATTTTATTTTAGGGACTATAAGAAAACTCTATAACTTAGTGCAGTGAGGACGCTGACATCAGGGAGTTGGGAGGGTCTTTCCAATTTAAATAATAGCACCCTGGTCTTTTTATCTTTTTATGTTAGCTTTACCACTTGGATTAGGATTCAGGGTTGGGCTCATATTTTTAGGGCAACATTGTCTAAATATATTTATAAAGTCTAAATATTCCTGGTATTTAAAAGATAATAGTGAATAGAATGAAAGCAATTTTAGAATTACTTCTGATAGTGAAAAACTATAAATTACACAAATCTTCAATAACTGATAAGTAGTCAAATATATCACAGGCTATGTACTGGAAGCCATTAAAATGCATATTGTACGGGAATACTTACGGATCTGGAAACATGCATATGCTATATCAGGGGTCTGCAACCTTTAAGACATAAAGAGCCACTTGGACCCGTTTCCGAAGGAAAAAAAAAAAACCTGGGAGCCGCAAAACCATTGTGACATTTAAAACAAATATAACACTGCATATATTGTTTCTTACCTTAATGCTATATACCGGATCGTGCAGTTAGCTGTCAATCTGAAGAAAAAAAGGACTTTTTCACTTAACAATGTAAAATATATTTTTGCAAATTAATAGCTAATTAAAATATTTAACTTACCTGGTTAATGGGATTTTTGCTCCTGAACCTCAGTGCACAGTGTCAGCACATCAGGGCTGTAAGATGTTACCTTCATTTTCACACAGGCTTGCAAGTTGTTGGAGCCGCGGTAAAGCTTCAAAAGAGCCGCATGCGGCTCTGGAGCCGCAGGTTGCCGACACCTGTGCTATACTATTAAGGGAAAAATAGATTTCAAAACAATGTATAGTGTAATTGAAATTATGTAAAAGGAGATACATTGACACAGGTCAAAATCTAAAGGGCTATACAGGAAGAAGTTTCCCTTTTATCCATTTCCACCCCAAAGGTATTCAATGTTATTAGTGTAGAATATATCATTCTACATCCAAAACAACACACGGATGTGATAGCCAAACATCCATTGGCTGCCTCCTGTACACCCCTTCCCCCCTACAGGCATTGAGCCAAAACCCAGGCATGTGCCTTGACTGGGAATTGAACCAATAACCTTTCAGTGCACAGGAAAATGACTAACCAACTGAGCCATACTGTCCAGGACTGCAGTAAAGAGTGAAATGGCATATTATCAGCAAAGCACTTTACACTATTGCTGACTCATAGAAACTATTATGAACAGACACTCAAGAAAGCAAGTTTGGCGAAACTGGTTTGGCTCAGTGGACAGAGCGTTAGCCTGCGGACTTAAAGGTCCCGGGTTCGATTCCAGTCAAGGGCATGTCCCTTGGTTGCGGGCACATCCCCAGTAGGGGGTGTGCAAGAGGCAGCTGATTGATGGTTCTCTCTCATCGATGTTTCTAATTCTCTATCCCTCTCTCTTCCTCTTTGTAAAAAATCAATAAAATATATTTAAAAAAAACAAAACACAAGTTTATTGACACTTGAACTTGCAACTTTACAATTACCTCCAGCTATTAATACTTTTTGTGTTCAACAGGAAAATGGGTGGGACAGCACCTCCGGACAGCAGTTGGAAAGGAAGTCTCAAAGTGCCCTACAACATTGGACCTGGCTTTATTGGAAACTTCTCTACACAGTTAAGAGACTTTTTATGCTCTCTTTAGGGCGAACACCTCTTTTCTTTTTTTTTTTTTTTTTTCATTACAAAATAAGCAATTATTGAGGATGATTTAAAAAAGTAAGACCTATCTAATATCAGCAGGAAACAAAGTCACAGGTTGAAGAGACTACATTTACATCATTATAGTCGGACAGGTGGCCAATGTAATTTTTGCCTGCATGCCTTTAGAAATCTTTTAAACAATAATGTAAGATTTAAAAATTGTGGGTTTGCCAAAACCGTTTTCGGCTCACTGGATAGAGCGTCGGCCTGCAGACTGAAAGGTTCCAAGTTCAATTCTGGTCAAGGGCATGTACCTTGGTTGCGGGCACATCCCCAGTAGGGGGTGTGCAAGAGGCAGCCGATCGATGATTCTCTCTCATCAATGTTTCTAACTCTCTATCCCTCTCTCTTCCTCTCTGTAAAAAATCAATAAAATATATATTTTTTTAAAATTGTGGGTGGTAATCTGTTAACCAGTAATTTTTGAATGTGTTCTTCATGTTTGCATTAGGAAAGTCAAGATGCACATCTATTCCAGCAATAAAGTGACAAGAATTTACAATGTGATTGGAACTCTCCGAGGAGCAGTAGAACCAGGTGAGTTAATCAGAATGTAGTAAATGAACAACTTTTCTTTGCCAAGTACTTACTACTCCAAGCTTTGGTGCTATCAGGTGAGCAAAGCAACTCTTTTCTCTACTGGAACTCATATAAGTACAAAATACATAGATATGAGGTGATTTTGTACTTTGATATATGTTTTTAAAAAAGAGAGAGCGAGAGCGAGAGAGAGAGCGAGAGAGAGAGAGGGAGGGAGGAAGAGAAGTGAATGGTGGGGCTAAAGTGTGCACGCTTTGCTTAGGGGATCAAGGAGCGCAGGGAGACATGGATATTAGGTGTTTTCTGGATTTGTTTACCACTTAGTTTTGTATGGTTAAATGTCTTCATGGTAACTATAAATATCTATATAAAAGATAGCACTAGAGCACTGGTCGGTGTAGCTCAGCTGGTTTGATTCCTGGTCAGGGCACATTCCTGCGTTTCGGGTTGAATCCCCAGTAGAGGGCGTGCAGGAGGCAGCTGATTGATGTTTCACTATCACTTTAATGTTTTTCTGTCTCTCCTCCCTTCCTCCCTATGAATCAATTAAAAAATCTTTGAAAAAAGATAGCACTTAGAAAATTAAAGTAACTTTGAATTACTAATTTTTAAAAAATTGAAGTTGATGAAATATATAGATACATGCTTTCCAAAGGATTTCAGACATCTGGGGATTAATATACCTTATAAAGATATATTAATGTTTCAGTTCCTGAAAAGTTGTTGGGATATATATATATATATATATATATATATATATATATTTACCAAAACAGATCTAATTAAATTCTATATCTTTCTTATAAGCAGCCAATGCTTTTCTTCAGTGATTAAGAATGTTGATATGCTCAAATGAAAATGAAACAATATATAACTGGCTATTTGTTAAATTTTGCTGAGTACCTATTTTTTGCCAGCTCTGTGCTAAGCATCGGATATGGTGGATAAAAAAAAAAAAAAAAAAAGACATCACCTGGGAACAAGGAGCTTATGGTTGGGGGTGGGGGGCATATATTTAAGTGTGGTAAATATTTTTTCAGATATGAAAAGATTGTCCCCAGGGCTGGGTAGGCAAGAAAGTCCCTGTTCCCATGGAAAGTAGGAATGGTTCAAAAAGGGAGAAAATCTTTTACCTGAATCTTAAAAATAAATAGAAGGAGTAGGAAGTAGAGAACTTAATATGAAAATACTGGAAGCAGTGCTAAGTAGGTGAAGGAGGAGTAATAGAGAATTATGTAAAGATATGAATAAGATAATTTTATACTTAATTATCATTACATATATACTTATAATTACTATAATACTATACATTTGCTTATCACTCATATTTTCTTCATACATCAAAATCAGAACAAAATACCAAAATGCATTATGTGTTTATACACATGTTCAGGAACCTTGCTGTCTTCCTCTCTTTTTTTTAAATTTTATTTATTGATCTGAGAGAGACAGAGAGAGAAAAAGAGAGAGAGAGAGAGAGAGATTAGTTTGTTGTTCTACTGATTTACACAATTTAGACATTCATTGGTTGATTATTATATGTGCCCTGACTGGGGATCGAACTGGAAACCTTAGCATATCAAGACAATGCTCTAACCAACTAAGCCACCCTGCCAGTGCTTCCTTTGAGTTTTGGTGCTCTGTGATCAGATGCTGGAATCATTTGCAATGTGTTTTGTTACTGAGTTGGAATGACCAGTAATTTTGCTTTTTAGACAGATATGTCATTCTTGGAGGTCACCGTGACTCATGGGTGTTTGGTGGCATTGACCCTCAGAGTGGAGCAGCTGTTGTTCATGAAATTGTGAGGAGTTTTGGAATTCTGAAAAAAGAAGGTAATGTAAGTGAAGTAGGTAAAAATATCTACTTCTTTGAGTCTCAGCTTAGTTCCCTGTTGACTGAGTGTAAAAATGTCACCTCATAGATTTGTATGAAGGGTGAACTAACAGGATACATGCAGACTGTGTCATCTGAGTAGCATAGAGTACTTGTTAGTGGCACAGAATTGTGGGAGCCCCTTTTCACGTCCCACATGGTTCAGGGTTCCTGTTCAGGGTTCTGGTACTGGAAAAGGCCACACACAAAATGAAGAGCGACTGGAAAAGAATTAATTTGGTAAAACGATCAGTTTCCAGCACAGAATAGCTTTCAATTAACTGGGTTACATTACTTATGTTGGTTAGTTAGTTATATTGCTTGCATTTACATAGTAATATTTACTTTATTGATATTTATATATTAAACTATAATTTGAAATAAAGGAATTACACCATAAGTGGTTGCTCTTAGCAACTAAGAAGATAGAGATGATTTTCCTCACAGAGGAGTACGTACATCCCAGAATTAGGTCATAAGTCAAAGCTTCCCAGCCTGGGAACTGTGAGCAGAAGTTTCTGGGTTCTTCCAGCCTCACACCTCAGATCAAGTGTACTAAGTAACTGAGGAGATCAAAGCTTATTCAGAAAAATACTGGTCTTTTTGACTAATGAGATACTGTCAAAAATTCAATATCTGCATATTCGTAAACCCCAAGCTTTGGGTTGCTCTCCAGAACTTAGGTTTATACTCTTAGCACCATTATTTCAGTCATTTTAAATCTTCATATAAAATCCAAATAAAGTTTAGTTTAAATAGTTGCTTTTTAAAATAATTACTGTATAATGACAGCAGAAAGTCAACTCTATTTACTGACCCTGCAAACAAGGTATCTTGGGGCTATAAATGTGATCCCTATTATTTTCATTTTTATTTTAGCCACAAGAAAACAACAGTAAAAAAGATGTTAAGTTTGCATGATACTTATTTTCTCAGAGAAATGGTGCTTCCACATGTGCTATCTATTTGGAACTCATAGCCACCAGGGAGAAGTTAACCTATTTATTTCTATTCCCACTTTACAATGAAGGTAACCAAGGTTTACAGAATCAGGAAACTCACACAAGGTTCTGTAGCTAGTGTGTGGCAAAGACAGAGAACCAGGGCTTAAACTCAAATTTTTGGCTACCGTCCACAAAACCATGATGTCTCTCTTTAAAATAAAGTGTAAAGGTGCTTTATTTTCCCCCCCACACAACTATGTTATATTTTTAGAAAACAAAATTATAGAGACCCGAATTTGCATAGTTTATGAATTCTGTAGTGTTTAAAATTACTACAAAACCTTTCGTGATTTTGTAAGATTTTCTGTGTTAAGTATAAAACATCACTGGAATCATTCTAGGCTCTAGAATATAGAGCATGCCAAAGAACGCAAAGATGAAGAATAATATTAAAGATAATTTGAATGATGTTATTAAGAAATGTGACAAAAATGAAACCCTGAACTCAACTCATCTAGGGATACTTCTTCTGAATAAGCACAAATGAAATCGTTACTAAAATAATGGACACTTACCTTTTTTGGATCACTTACTAGAGTATATTTATAAATACTAATCATTTAATCCTTCCAACAATCAAATAGTATCTTTACCTTATTATTCCTGGCGTACCAATGAAGAAACAGTGACTTAGTAAGTTTTAATAGCTTTCCCTCGGTCATACTGCTAGTTAGTGAAAGAACCAGAGTTTGACATAAGATCTTCCTTTCACACCAGTGTTAACTCCAAGCCATACCATCTTCCTGTTGAATTTTATGTACGTTTCAGTAGCCACAGACATTGACATTGTTAACTGAGCTTCTGTTGAGGAATCCTGGCACAGTTGAGTGAAATCATACAACCAGCTGACACTGCACAATCACATGATGCCAGAACAACAAACAGGAAGAGCTGTCAAGCATTTTCTCTGTTGTATGTGCTCTCTAAACACAGACCACACCCAGCACTCCCTTCTTCCGCAGCTGCAGGTCGCAGGTGGTTTCCTGTGCTCGGCCAATCTTCATAAACCTAAACAATCCATGGTTTTGTTTGTTATTGTTTTTCCTGTTGGGCTTGGCATTGTTGGAGAAAGCTTGCATTTTTTTCAGCATTTATATGTATATACATACTATTTTAGGATGGAGGCCTAGAAGAACAATTTTGTTTGCAAGCTGGGATGCAGAAGAATTTGGTCTTCTTGGTTCTACTGAGTGGGCAGAGGTTAGTGGATGGTGTGCTACAATATATATTTTCATAATGAGACAGCAGTTCAAACTTAATTCTCAAGGATGTGAACATAACACGTGAATCCAGTGAAGCAATATATCTGTGTTCAAAAATCAACAATAAAAATATCTTTGTCACCAAAGAACTAGGTTCCATGTTAACATTTCAGAGCCAGTTAATGTCTGTTGTCAAAATAACTTTATTTCCTGCAAGTGTGATAGGAGCTAAGTAAACTCACTAGAAACCAAACAGTAAAATATGATACCATCTTTCTATTACCTTTTTCAAATTAGCTCTTAAAGCTGAGCACATTGAAATAACTCCTGAGCTTGGGTAGTAAGGTATATCTTTCACAGCTATCTTCTCCATATCATAATGACCTACTCTGAATTAAATCATGCTAAGAGTGAGGCATCAAGTCCCACTACATAATATTTATGAGGCCCCTTGGAAAGTAATTTTTATTTGCATGTATTGTTTTCTTTGTGTAATAGGCATTAGCTATAAATATATGCAAAGTTGACACGATTCCATCCACTTCAAGTCCTGTAATTAAAATTTATTGGGCTCCTATTATGTTCCATGAATTATAGGAAGACCTGTAACCTTCAATTTTCTTTGGGGGAAAAATAAAAGTAGTATTTTTGTAGATAAGAAAGTTTATGTTGGCATCAGGAAGAGCCTAAATATGTTAAGATTATGATTTGTCTCTTTCAAACTATTTTCATCATGTAGAGTTGCATTTTTTTTCCTGTTTTTCTTATATTCAAGATGCTTAGGAAATTGCATATTTAAGAAATTCAGAATCCGTTTGATGTCTCAAAAGTAACTGCTACATTTCTTTTTTAATTTTTATTTATTTTTAAAATATATATATCTTATTGATTTTTTTACAGAGAGAAGGGAAGAGAGTAGAGAGCTAGAAATATCGATGAGAGAGAAACAGTGACCAGCTGCCTCCTGCACACCCCCTAACGGGGATGTGCCCACAACCAAGATATATTCCTTTGACCCTTGACCGGAATGGAATCTGGGACCTTTCAGTCCGCAGTCCAACACTCTATCCACTGAGCCAAACCGGTTTCTGCTACACTTCTTTTTTTTTTTTTTTTTAAATTGCAATGGTCAATATTGACCAGTAGGTGGTGGCATTCTACAGGAGAACTTCATATTTCAGGGTAGAGGACCTTGATATTCACATTTTTAACAGGTATATTTGAAATAACAAGATTCTGTACTTAAATAATGAGATATTCATGAGAAGACTTCCACTGAAAGGTTCTCTTATGTCCTTCGTATTTACTAAGAGAATTTCTTGAGGGATAAACTATATTATGGTTAAGAAATCAACTTCCTTTCCTTTTACCAAATTAAGAACATGGACAGTCTTAGCTTACATTTTAGCCTTAAAATGTTTTGTTATTCTTACCAATATTTTTTTATTTCAATTCTTTCAAACGAATAATTTTTATAAACTAATATGTCAAATTTGTGGATAATTTGGGCCAGTTCAATTCAGAAACCTGCACACATTTCATGGAGTGTGCATTTTTTTAAGGGGGAAGGTATAGCTGTATGTTTATGCTTTTTCTTCTTTCATATTATAGGAGAATTCCAGACTCCTTCAGGAGCGTGGTGTGGCCTATATTAACGCAGATTCTTCTATAGAAGGTGAATATCATTGGTCTCATTGAAAAAGATGGGATCACAGAATAGGGGCAGTTCATTTCATACACTTATAAGGCCCCTGACTCACCGCAGCTGTGAGCCCCAGAGAGCTAATTTGGGAAAGCCGCACTCTGCTTCATTTCATGTGGCAGATCACCTTGTATAGAGCAGGACTTCAGTAAATACCTGTTAAATGAATAGGTGGATCATGGAACTAAAGATTTCAACGGCCTTAGAATGAGGTATCACAAAAGGTATGATTTTGTTCTTATTCCCAGACCAATGGATGCTCATTTTTATTTATTTTAAAAATGTTTTTCAATTACAGTTGATATTCACTACTAGTGTGAACGTACTGTGATTAGACATTCATATAACTTACCAAGTGGTCCCCCACTAAGTCTAGTACCCCATACATAGTTAGTACAATGTTATCGACTATATTCCCTTGCTATACTTTGCATCCCCATGACTATTGTGTAACTGCCAATTTGTACCTCAGTCCCTTCACCTTTTTCACTCCACCCTCAACCCCTTTTGATGGAGACATGTTGGCCTTTACGTTTTCTTCTTTGTTCACATGTGTGAGCTGCAGTGCCTCCTACCTCAGTGCATGTCAGTTATTCTTTCCTCCTCGTCTTAGGTTCATGACTAAGCTCCTGGCCCTCTTCCTGTCACCGTCACTTCCTAGCTATGTGACCTCAGGTTGTTACTCACTTTCTGTGTCTCAGTTTTCTCACCTGTATATGGAGTTACTCAAAGCACACACCTCAAAGGCTCTTGTGAGGGCAAAGTGGTTTATATTTGCAAACCTCCCTGACGTTTGTCCTGCCTAGAGTGAATCTTCAAAAAATGTTAGTCTGTATTATTATTACCCTTACTTACAAACACATGGCAAGATGAGACGCTTTGCCACACAGAATAAATACTCCATATATTTTTCCAAAGTAGCATACTGTTCTCTTTACTGCTAGTCTTTTTTAAGATCTGATTTTTAATGTGTTTTTTAAATTTATTTTTTATCATCCCATCTGTCCTTTTTAATGCAGATTTTTAAATCATTGGATTTTAATGATTATGTCATTCTCTGTTGTAAAATGCTACATTGGTCCAACATGGCTCAGTGGTTGAGCATCTACCTATGAATCAGGAGATCACAGTTTGATTCCCGGTCAGGGCACATGTCTGGGTTGTGGGCTTGATCCCCACAAGAGGAGACAGCTAATCAATGATGTTCCTCTCTTATCCTTCCTCTATCTCTCTCTAAAAAAAAAAAACACAAACAAATAATAAAAATATGATTAAAAAATAATAATAATAAAATAAAATGCTGCATTGTCTGCCCATCGTGGTCAGGATTAAGAACAAACGACACAAACGTGCATAGAATTTAGCTCCCACAAGTCCACAGTGTAGTTTTCGTAAGTGCATTATACATAAAAGTTTAATACAATAATTCTGTGAGGTAAATTTTGTTTTATTCGTCTTGTACAGAACAGGGAACTGAGATTCAAAGGGATTAAGCAACTCTCCCAAAATTCCCCAGAATGTAAAGGGTGGGGCTGAGATTCAAATCTACCTGCTCTGTTTCAACTTTATCTTTCTAACCACTACATTCTTCCTACCTTATACAGGTTTTTGATCTCATATTACAGATAAATGGTTCTGCCTCTTGCATTTTTTGTTCTGAGGTAACCTTTCCGAAAACAGGGCATTAGGCCAGAGGTCTAAGTGAAGCGGGAGAGTAAGTCCTGCAGCTCTAATGCCAAACACTGTTCCAGGCTGAGGGGACAGCGTGTACAAAGACCCTGAGAAAAAGTCTGTGTGGGCAGAGTGGGGAGGGGAGGGTTTGGGCAGGTGACCTGAGGAGGCTTCTTCTCTGGCACTGAGGACGATGAGTTTTGATTGGACTCAGGTTTTAAAAGGAACATTTGACTAAGGAATGAAGAGTGGTCTTTGAATGAGAAAATAAAATAAAAAAAAAAGGAAATAAAAAAATAACCAAACTTCTGGTTGGTCTTTCAGGAAACTACACTCTGAGAGTCGATTGTACACCACTGATGTACAGCTTGGTATACAACCTAACAAAGGAGGTACAAATAATTACATATAATTTGAGAAAATCTGAGTTCAGCAAATGCTATTGTCTTGTGATACCGTTGTTATGTTAAGCATCTGTTGTTTTATAACTTCCCTTTTCCTCATAGAGCAAATATCCACTCCATAGGACATTACCTCTAATAATATGTTTACACACATTATCTCATTTCTTCCCTCACCACCCCAAAGCAACGTGTCTACACCCTCACTTGAAAACGGGCTTAAAAAAAAAAAAAAAAAAGCATTAGCCACTGAAGTTATACAACTTATCTAGTAGCTAAACCGAGACTTGGTTCCAGGGTTTAATGCCTTAATTTTAAAACTGGTTTATACTCCTTAATATAATGAATGATATCAAGTAACCCAGGATGCAGAAAGACAAAATTTCTGATTGAGAGAGGATATAATTAAAAACACACTAAGTGCTGGCTGCTAGGGACAAAGCAATTTGGGGAAGAGGCTAGGTGAGAACATGTACCCCTTTCCTGACTTCCTGACCTGGCTCCATTCCTCTGAGTCCCACTAGGCTGGCTGACAGCTAAAGTTCTCTTCCGCTGACAGCAGCTCCAGGTACTGAACTGGGTGGACAGGTGATGCTGAATCCATAAAGGATAGGCGACTCTTCACTTTAGTTCTCCTGCCTCATAAAATCATTGTTCCTGGGTTTTGAGAGTGGCAGATTTTTCTTGTTACTGCTAATTTGTATTGGAAAGGAAAAAAAAAAAAGACTCGCCCATTTAATAAAATTACTAATTGAAATGTAATTATCAAGAAAAGTTCAATGCCCTAGCCAGTTTGACTCAGTTAATAGAGCATCTATTTACCCACGGGCTGAAGGGTCTCAGGTTTGATTCTGATCAAGGGCAAATAACTCAGGGTGTGTGAGAAAGATAATCAATCTATGTGTCTCTCACATCGATGTTTTTCCTCTCTCTCTCTCTCTCTCTCTCTCTCTCTCTCTCTCTCTCTCTCTCTCTCTCTTTCTCCCTTTCACTCTAGAAAATTAGTGGAAAATATTCTTGGGTGAGGATTAACAACAACAACAAAAACCACCAAAAAAGAAAAAGATTTCCCCTCAGGTAGTGATTTTAAGTAAGACAAATATCACTAAACTTTGGTTTCAAAAGCATGGAATTTAATCTTATAAATTAGCATTTCCTACAGGACTAGAAAAAATTAGTTTGAAAAATATATTTTATGCTGTTAAGAGCTCCATCACTTACCTGCAGTTTTATTAATTTCCATAAAGTGTATACAATTTTAAATATCTGAAACAGGGTATTTCAGTGAGTTCCCACTGTTCATGTAACTTAAGGTAAATGCTAAGGACAAGTGGCAGCTGTATTTGTTTACTGAGACAATTGCATTAACACTACTCTCTAGGACAATTTTGAAATGATGTGATGATTGACAGTTTGGGGTTTTGTTTGATTCTGTTTTCTTTGTTTTGGGAAAGTGAATTGCAACATTTCAACTTTTAGTGATAAACAGAGAATTTAGTCTTCTGTTTTTACACTGTTCCAAATTTGCATTACTTAGAATAATTGGAGTGATACTGTCCATTTTACCAAAGTGTTGTAAATAAGCTTGAGTAAAATTATTTTGTTGCTGTATTTATTCATAGTTTACAAGTTAAGATGTAGCATAACTTCTCTCTCCCCACACTTATGCAAATTTATTTGTGTCCCCATAGACCTTCGTACATACCTCTGTTACAGCACCAAGCAATTGAATTCAATGTTCTTACTTAATTTCCCACTAATGGGGAGTTTTAAAAGTATCTAATTGAATTTGGTATTCCTGGAACTTCACAACAAGTCTTAAACAGCATAGGTAGTACTCTATAGGCTTTTAAAAATGGAATTTGCCAAAACCGGTTTGGCCTGGAACTTCACAACAAGTCTTAAATAGCATAGGTACTCTATAGGCTTTTAAAAATGGAATTTGTCAAAACCGGTTTGGCTTACTGGATAGAGTGTCTGCCTGTGGACTGAAAGGTCCTGGGTTTGATTCCAGTCAAGGGCATGTACCTTGGTTGCAGGCACATCCCCAGTAGCAGTGTGCAAAAGGCAGCTGGTTGATATTTCTCTTTCATCAATGTTTCTAACTCTATCCTTCTCCCTTCCTCTCTGTCAAAAATTAATAAAATATATTTTATTAAAAAATGGAATTTGTTGAAAAATAGAACATAGGACGTTTATTAAATATAAAATAAAAACATTATATACCATATATTGTTCAATAACCTATGAGTAACTAGGGAACATTAATTAAAGTTTAATTGCTAAGTGGTTTTGCCATCACACTTTATGTTCTAAGTCTAGAATTCAACAATAGCTCATATTTTACTTTGTTTGCTCATCTGTAAAACCAGAAAATGTATTTAAAGCTCAGTATTAATGCAATTACAATATATACTCAATTAAAGAAAATATTAGTGCATTTATTTTGTTATATATTACTTAATGACTTTAGCTACATGTTGGAAAAGAAGAAATATTAAAAGAAATACCTTCCTGTCCCTAGCTTACTTCTTTTCCATTGTTTTTATAAGAGGAGAAATAATGGTTTTGAGAGTAGCCCCACTTAATTCATTAAAAGAGATAATTATTTTTTTACATAATATAACCATTCCTTTGAATACAGTGGCTTTGTATAATATGTGTAGCCTCTTTTCCATACATTCCACATATTGTTTATAATAGTTGCACTTGTATATTATAAGTAGTGAGCATTTTCCCATAGTGTTAGAAACTTACTATTGTAAATCTTAATGACTACTAAGGTACAAATTACTTCTCTTGTGGTTTTTTTTGTTTGTTTGTTTGTTTTGTTTTGTTTTGTTTTGTTTTTTGTCTAATCTTCACCTTAGGGTATGTTCATTGATTTTTAGAAAGAAAGAAAAGAAGTGGTGGGGAGAGAGAGAAACATCTATTGGTTGCTCCCTGTTTGCATCCCAATGGGAGATTGAACCTGCAACATAAGTATGTGCCCTAATCAGGAATCAAACTTGAAAAACCTTTTTTGTGTCGGGGCAGCACTCCTACCAACTGAGCAACGGGGCGGGATACTTCCCTTGTGTTGCTAAATATAATTTAGCGATTCATTTCCTGGTTGATGGACATTCAGACTTTAAAACATCTGACTCATAAGTATCTTCTCTCTCTTTAATGTGTGCAGCTCCAAAGTCCTGATGAAGGCTTTGAAGGCAGATCTCTGTATGAGAGCTGGAATGAAAAAAGCTCTTCACCAGAGCTCATTGGCATGCCCAGGTAAACAATCAAACAAGCAAAAGAGACAAAACTCTACTGAATTTAGTATGGGATTGTGTTGGAAATAAAAGTTTTTTTTCCCCAATCATTAATAAAAAAATTTGTTTTAAAAATTCTCTAACATTTGATAAAGGGAAAGTGATGAGGTTCTCAAATAAATTATTACTATGTATGTGTTTGAAGATAAATCTCTAGGTCATCAAGAGATGCTTTCCTTTGAATAGGTAATATATATGCATGGTAAATAAAAGATTATAATGGTTGAGAGTAATTCCCCTCATATTTCCCCTATTGACTCTATAAGTTATCTTATTTTCTGAACATCATACAATAACAAATATTGTAGTTACTCTAAGAAAAATATAGACATTATTGCAGTTTTGGTTGTATAAATCAAAATTAATTTTAGACTGTAATAGAATATACAAAAAATTATTTATTTGAGTAAAAAGGACTCGTAGTCCTAAGGATATTAAGGGTAGAGATTTTAGGGGAGGCCCCAGGAAGAAGATTTCAATAGAATATTCAGCAGCTTTCCAGGTGTCCTTTCACGGTCGGGGTCTGATTGATTGGTCAAAGTCAGGACTGGGGGTTATTATTCAATACAGCTGGGCCCTGAGGTCAGCTGTGGCATCTCTTGTCTGGTTTTGCTGCCTTTGTGGGCCTGAAGCTGAAATACAACTGAGGCCTAGATGTTATCTCTAGGGAAGAAGACTCAGGAGGTCCCAACCACAAGACCAGCCATACGTTAAGGGAGGATAAGACACCCTGGGAATGAGATTCCCACCTTACAATTATCCAATACTGGGCATCTAGGGTTTTCTGCCCTGGTGACCTGCACCCAGCCCATTGACCTTGCTCTGCTCATGTCTAACTTCCTACCACAGAATCTAATGCTATCTCCAGATATCTAGTGTCAGTATTGAGATGACTGGTAGGACCCCTGTTGGTTTCCTGAAGAATTGCTTATTGTTGATGTGGGGATAATCCCCTTCATTGGAATAGGGAACCCAAAAGAACAATGGTCACCCTAACAAAATATTCTTGGAGTAGATATTTTGTGATCAAAACTAATATTTCTCTCAAAATTTTTTCTACATGTCTAAGGTGATGCATTTAAAAATTATATTTAACTTTTTCTATAATAATGATGTTTAATTCATCTTTAATCTGTACTTGATGAAGAAATCTCAAATAATTCTGAATTTTATTCCTACAAGGATTAGCAAGTTGGGATCTGGTAATGATTTTGAGGTGTTCTTCCAAAGACTCGGAATTGCTTCAGGCAGAGCACGGTATACTAAAAATTGGGTAAGTCAATCCATAAGTAATTCATGATTACTTAGTAATTACAATCCATAAGTAATTCAGGATTATTTATTTTAGCTAAATAAATCATTCTGAATCAATAAAAGTGACTGAATCACTAGCGGAATAGAGGAATTTGAAGCAGAATGGAAAAGTCTCAATGGCTTTCATATTCTATTAACCTGTTAATGAGTGGTTTATTGAGGTACTTCAATACTTTCCTGTATTCATTACTGACCAAAATAGCCTAATTAATATTAATAGTAAATATGTATTTTATGATAAACTATATTACAAGAGATATATTTTGTTCTTTGCTTTTTTTTTTTTTTTTTGTAGGCCATAAACAAATTCAGCAGTTACCCATTGTATCACAGTGTTTATGAAACCTATGAATTGGTGGAAAAGTTTTATGATCCAACTTTTAAGTATCACCATGCCGTGGCCCAGGTTCGAGGAGGGATGGTATTTGAACTAGCCAGTTCTGCCGTGCTCCCTTTTGACTGTCGAGATTATGCCATGGTTTTAAGAAAGTATGCTGACAAAATCTACAACATTTCAATGAAACATCCGCAAGAAATGAAAACATACAGTGTGTCCTTTGGTATGCTACACATTTTTAGAATTCATTATCTATATGTTTCTGTGAGTCTCTAAAATATGATGGCCTACTTGAGGTCCATTTTTCATTTATTGTTGTTCTACGTGATTAAAAATATTCTTTACATCTATAAGTGTATTTTTCCCCCACTTGTGTTTATCTGGAAATATACAAAATGTTAATCCCTTGTAATATATAAAGAACAGCTTACCCTACTTTTCTTTTTTGCTTCAGCTATAGAGCAATACTACTAGGTCCTAATTTCTCTTTCAGATTCACTCTTTTCTGCAGTGAAGAACTTTACAGAAATTGCTTCTAAGTTCAATGAGAGACTGCAAGACTTGGATAAAAACAAGTATGTGCTACATAAAGGAGTTCGGTATTGAAATATCTTTCAAGTGTTTGCTGCTTCTGTCCCTTCACTCTAAGCATATAGGCTGCCATATCTCTCAAAGAAAGACCCACTTCTGACATCCTGAGTGGCAACTATGCTGCTGAGAAATGCTGATGTCACTGCCAACTCGTTAGTGCCAAATCCCCAGCTGACCATGGAAGGGCCTCCACCGCCTGACCACAGCCTTCTCCAGCTTCCTCTCATGTGCTTTCAGTATCTCTCCATCAGACTTCAGCCAAATGCTCTTATTCCCGAATACACCCTCCTTCTCCCTCTCCTTAAGGTCATTACCTACACACATAATTCTTTCCTTCCGCTTCCACGTGGGAAAACTCTATCTGGAATAACAAATATTGCGAAGCCATCATTTTAAGATTATTTCTGTATAAAGACACAAAAATGAAATGTAATTTGAACAGATTTTTAGATAGGGAATAAATGATGTGAAAACATTAAGGAATTTTTTTAAAGGTAGAAATTTGAAGGGGAATATCTCTTTATATTAAACATATTACAATGTTTATCAAATCCTTCGGGATTGATGCAAGAATATATTGAAAGAGCCAGGACCAGTATGTTCAGTGAATTAAGCATAGTCCAATGCACCAAAAGCTGTTGGTTTGACTCCCAGTCAGGGCATACGCCTAGGTTTAGTGCTCCATCCCTAGTAGCAGGAGGCAGCTGATTAATGTTTCCCTTTTCTTCTCCCTCTTCTTTCTTTTCTCTCAGAAAATCGATAAAAAATCTTAAGCATCAATATATAGAAAGATTAGAGTAGACGGTTCAAAAATAACCTAGCGATATATAAGAATGTCTTTTTTTCTTTCAAACTTGTGACTCCTTAAGAAAAAGATTCAAGAAAAAGAAACACAACAGCAAAGTGTAAGAACAACAACCATAAAACATCTTACCAGCGTTTGAATACCTGGGTTTATCAATTAATTGTTGTTTCAATATAATTAAAAGTCACTGCCATTTTTTTTCATTAGCACACATAACTATTTTTGTGGTTTTGTAAGCCTCGCCATAATAATATTTCATAAAACTTTTAAAATGTAACTACATTATTGTTTTTAATGGAAAAGAATAGGAATTTAAAATATATTTGCGCCGAGACGGGTTTGGCTCAGCGGTAGAGCGTCGGTCTGCGGACTGACGGGTCCCAGGTTCAATTCCAGTCAGGGGCATGTACGTTGGTTGCGGGCACATCCCCAGTGTGGGGTGTGCAGGAGGCAGCTGGTCGATGTTTCTCTCTCATCGACATTTCTGGCCCTCTATCTCTCTCCCTTCCTCTCTGTAAAAAATCAATAAAATATATTTTTAAAAAATAAAACAAAATATATTTGCATTGTTCAGTTTTGTTCTAAATTTTCTGTTTGCTAGGTAGTGCACTAATTTTCATGTTGTTATAGCTATTCATTTCCTTTTCAGCCTAATGTTATTGAGAATGATGAATGATCAACTGATGTTTCTGGAACGAGCATTTATTGATCCTTTAGGACTACCAGACAGGCCTTTCTATAGGTAAGGGGGGAAAAATGACTCATTAGAATTCCATTTCTATTTTTTGCACTGTAGAAAAATGATCATAATTGTTTTTTGCAAACAAATAGAAAAAGTTAAAATACACGCAGCCTATGGAGACTATACTGTTTCTTCTTTATAGGACATAATATGATTACTACGTATGTTTCTTCTTAGTGGCTTGTTTCTGGTTATACTAGTAAAAGAATATATGTTCATTATAGGAAACTTAGAAGACCAGAATGTCCCAAGGAAAAAAAGAAATCTTCCCTTTTCCATCAGTTAAGACATAAAATTGTATTTGTATCTTTTTAAAAATATATTTTACTGATTTGTTGGGTTTTTTTTTACAGAGAGGAAGGGAGATGGATAGAGAGTTAGAAACATTGATAAGAGAAAAACATTGATCAACTGCCTCCTGCATGACCCCCACTGGGGTTGTGCCCTTGACCGGAATTGAACCCTGGACCCTTCAGTCCACAGACTGATGCTCTATCCACTGAGCCAAACCGGTTTTGGCCTGTATTTGTATGTTGTGTGTAATTTTAACCCTTATCTCATTTTAAATATATTTGTGTGTGTGTGTGTGTGTGTGTGTGTGTGTGTGTGTGTGTATATATATATATATATATAAAACATAATGAATATATATATACACACACACACACACAGGGTTGGGCAAAAGCAATTTTACAGTTGTAATGCAAATAAATAATACAATAATAAATAAATAATAATATAATAATAAACTGTGTTTCATATACTCATAACTGTAAACCTACTTATGCCCATCCCTATATTTATAATGAAATATTTACAATATATAACAATAATTTACTCTTCTAATATTGACATTTTGTTTTTTTCTTTCTAATTTTGATGGATATAGTTATTTCTATCCCTAAGTTGGTCTTAATAATAAGTATTGCAGAATGAATTAATTATTTACAATTAGAAATGGCTCAATCTTTCTGTAGGAATTATTAAAAGATTGGAATTGGCAATAAGGGCATTATCCAAACAGGGCGACTGGTTCTCCAATGGTGGGATGATTATGCAGGAGGCAGAACTGTTTGTTTGTTTGTTTGTTTGTTTTATTGATTTCAGAGAAGAAAGGAGAGGGAGAGAGCACTAGAAACATCACTAATGAGAGAGAATCATTGATTGGCCACTTCCTGCATGCCCCACACTGGTGATGGGATCCAGCCTGCACCCTGGGCATGTACCCTGACTGGGAATGGAATCTTGACTTCCTGGTTCATAGGTTGATGCTCAACCACTGAGATAAGCTGGCTGGGCGAGGCAGAACTGTTTTTAATGATTCCTCATGCTTTTACGAGTAGCTAGGCATTCACACATGTGTGCCTGGCTTCTTTTTTAAAGAGGAGGGAAAGCAAAATAATAAGTTGGTTGCTCACAAATAGGACTTTAATAATCAGAGTGTTCTACATTTCATGGGATAGAGTGGAATGATTGTGCCTATTTTCTTCTGTACTTAAAATATATTTCAGGGAGAGGGAGAGAGAGAGAGACATCAATGATGGGAGAGAATCATTGATAGGCATCACCTGCATGCCCATTAATGGGGATCCAGCCCAAAACCTGGGTATATGCCCTGACCTGGAATTGAACCGTTATCTCCGAATTCATAGGTAGACTCTTAATCACTTAGCTATGCCGGCTCGTTCTTCTTTAATTTTTACTTATTCTTTCTGGCCAGGACTATTATAGAAACTGACATAACTCTCAACAAAACATCTCCTTCTGCCTAGGTCTGGTTGAAGATTACAGAACTGTTTTTAATGATTCCTCATGCTTTAAGCTGGGCATTCTAACATGTTTGCATGGCTTCATTTTAAAGAGGAGGAAAAACAAAATACCGGTAGTAAGTTGGCTGGTCACACATAGCACTTTCATAATAGAGTTTTGCTGCTCTTCAGGGCATAGAAGGAATGGTGAAAAGTCAGCACTCTTTTGCCATGTGTCTTGAGACTGATCAGACCTCAATCCCCCCTTCTTTGAAGTACTGATATTAAGCTTTTTAGAGTTTATTTTTAAGCATTGTAAAATTATAGGTGAATTCTGTCAAGTGTGACCCATCGTAGGTGACAAGCTGTTTTTGCTATCGGTTGTTATTTTTGTTGCTGAGAACCACTTTGTCTTTTTAAAGTTAAATACAGCTAATTAATGCACAGTTGTTCCGAAGACTGGTCTTTTTGGAGGTAGTTGAACTTGGAAGTTGAGACGTGGCTTACTGAAATCATAAAATTAGAATTATGTGTTACAGAATTATGTGTTAGTTTACTAATAGATGGTAAACTATTTTTTTTTTTTTTTTTTTATCAACAGGCATGTCATCTATGCACCCAGCAGCCACAATAAGTACGCAGGGGAGTCATTCCCAGGGATTTATGATGCTCTGTTTGATATCGAAAGCAAAGTGGATCCTTCCAAGGCCTGGGGAGAGGTGAAGAGACAGATTTCTGTCGCCGCCTTCACCGTGCAGGCTGCGGCAGGGACACTGAGAGCAGTAGCCTGAGGCGCTGCTGTGGAGAACACAGGTTGAATTGGTATCTGTCGCTCAGAAAGAATCCTCATGAGTGTATTGACAAACCAAAAATTAAAGTTGTGTGTATCTTGGTATTTATTTCCTTCTTCCTATGGATTAAAACAGAGAGATAGCCGATTTTTATTCTCCTGATACAGTAGGTTATCCTGGAATCGAAGGATGTGTTAAAATGAAGGTGAACAGCCTAATATGTGAAAACTTATGTCGCATTATCAGGGAATCAAGTCTAATTCTGCACTTCCAAACCTACTCCTGGCATTGCGCACAAAGATAGCATCAGTGTGGCTCTGGCTAGTATGGCTAAAGGGTTAGAACTTTGGCCTGAGCAATGAAGGGTCTCACTCCGGGGCTCATACCTGGGTTGCAGGTTCTATCCCAGGCCCTGGCCCAGGTGTGTGGGGGAGGCAACCAATTGATGTACCATTCTCAGATCTCTCTCTCTCTCTCTCTTCTCCCTCACTACCTTCCACTCTCTAAAAGTCAATGGAAAAATTTCCTCAGGTAAGGACATAAGAAAGAAAGGGAGGGAACAAGGGAAGGGGAAGAGAGAGAGAGGAGGGGGGGGGGAGAGAGAGAAAAGAAAGAAAGAAAGAAAGAAAGAAAGAAAGAAAGAAAGAAAGAAAGAAAGAAAGAAAGAAAGAAAGAAAGAAAGAAAGAAAGGAAAGAAAGGAAAGAAAGAAAGAAAGAAAGAAAGAAAGAAAGAAAGAAAGAAAGAAAGAAAGAAAGAAAGAAAGGAAAGAAAGAAAAAAAGAAAAGAAAAGAAAAGAAAAGAAAAGAAAAGAAAAGAAAAGAAAAGAAAAGAAAAGAAAAGAAAAAAAAAGAAAGAATGAAGGTATGTTTGTGTAAGAGCACTCGGGAAAATTCATAGGGCTGCACTAAGAGGCCTCAAGCCCTGCCTGACCCCGAAGGCTGAGAGGATACTCTCTTATCATATTAATTAGACAACATGTGTAGTAAAAAATAATACAGAAAATTAACCCCTCCGGACTGAATAGCCATACGAACAAAAGGAACATTGCCATAACCCTTGATCCCCACCATGTACTGTTGCCTGATGTGCTTTTCTCTCCTGGCAGAGATACTCACTTTCTTGAATTTTGTTGCTGTTTCCCATTATTTATAATTTTACCACGCATGGCTAGATCACGCACGTGTTTTTGGCTTTGTGTATTTTTTGAGCTTTTTATAATAAATAAAATTAAACCATGTGTAATATTCTAGGACTTGAGTTTTTTCACTAACCTTGGGAGGCTGACCCATGCCTTATTCTAGCTATAGTTCGCTAGATCTCACTGACACAGAGCATATACTTGCGTGAATATTACATTTATGAACCAAGGCCCAGGCAAGATACAGAAACATTAATAGGGAAAGTGACTCTACAGAATGATTGGTCATAACAACCCTGCAGCAATGAGGTACTGTCTTGTAAAAGGGAAAGAGTACTCCAAAAGAAGAGAAGAGCAGATACAAGGAGTGGTCTGAGATGGAGCAGCCAATGAAGAGTCTTGCCCCACCCATGGTTCTCCCAAATATTAGAGAAGTAGCTGTGGAGTCCCACAAGCAGAACTTGCTGTAAATCTACACCAGAATCCTGACTCTAGACCACTGTGGGAGCTATTGACAGGGAAATGTCTTCCAGAGACACTTGACAACAAAACCAGCCAAGGAAAGCATATAAAGATGAAGATAGAATTTCAACTCTGGTTACTAGGGTCCATGACTGATTTCTCATTTCAATTCAGGCATTGTCCACTACATTTATTTGAGTAAGTCAGATCTTTCTGGGTTTTCGATAAATGATTTGGGCTATTTGTGAAGAAATCAATTTTAAAAGCCAAATAGTGAATTTTCAAATAATTTAAACTTATGTTTACTCCAAAATATATACTTATTTTTTTAAGCAAATTGCTATTTGTATTTTAATAGGTAACTTAGATTTAATTTTTATTCAATCCAAAACATATTCAAATGGTATAAATACTTCCAGATGTAATAACCATTGAATGTGAACCATAAAATCAGAAGGAAATGGGAGAGTAGATTAATAAATCTAGATGACCTACTAAATCTAAAAATTGGAAAAATCACAAATTGAAAGCAAACAAGTAAAAATTTTAGAGCATACAAGGAATATATTTTTTAAAAATATAACAAAGTGTAACCATAGCTAACATAAAGACATTTTAAATCAATAACTTCAATATTAATAATTCAATTCCAAGTCTGTCCTGAAAGGGTGTGTGTGTCTGTGTGTGTCTGTGCATTGGTGTGTATGTGTTAGTGTGTCTGTGTGTGTAACATTTAACAGGAGAGAAAACATAAAAGGAATAAGGACATAAAGCCAAGCCACAAAGAAGTATAGAATGAAAATGCATACTATTAAGACCTCTACCCTTGAAATCCAGTCACAGCCATAAGATAGAATTAAATCTATTACCAGACAAAGTAAATAAATAAGTAAAGGAAAAACAACGATGGAAGTATATGTTGGAAATACGTTTAATTGAGTAAAATAAAGGACGTATCCAAACAAAATTTTGAGTTGCAATGAAACAATGTGAGCACCATTTGCAACATCTCTAGATGCTCAAATTAGAGAAAAATGTAGGGTACTAAATGGATGTATTATAAAAGAAGAAAAGCCTATCTCCAAGAGATAAAGAAAAGCAAATTTACCTGGCCAGCAGGGCTTAGTGGTTGAGCATAGACCTATGAACCAGGAAGTCAGGCTCCAAACCCGTGTGGGACATGCAGGAGGCAGCCCATCAACAATTCTCTCCATTGTTTCTTTCTCTTTTTCTCCCTTCTATGAAAACAATTAGAAAAAAAAGGAAAGCAAATTTGTGCGAATAAACTAGGAATAAAATAATCATCATCATCATCATCATCACAGAAAATACTGAATTGAAAAAAAAAATACAATAAGTAGCCGAAATCGGTTTGGCTCAATGGATAGAGCGTCGGCTTGGGGACTGAAGGATCCCGGGTTCGATTCCGGTCAAGGGCATGTACCTTGGTTGCGGGCATATCCCCAGTAGGGGGTGTGCAAGAGGCAGCTGATCGATGACTCTCTCATTGATGTTTCTAACTATCTCTCTCCCTTCTTCTCTGTACAAAATCAATAAAATATATATTTTTTAAATACAATAAATAAAATCACCCAAAACTGGCTCTTTGTATAGATGAATTAAATTGATAAACATCAGGATGGGGCTGTGCGAAGGGGCGGGCTCTGCGCCTTGGGCCCAGCACCTCTGCCAGGTCTGAGGCACAACCCCATGCTAGGGGACTGCAGGGCGGTGGGAGAGGACGCAGACGTTGGAAAAGAAAACGCATCTACCCAAGGGGCTGGCAGCGATGGGGCGGGAGACGCTTTCCTTCTACGTCGCTGTCTAGATGGCCACTGCCAGAGGCTGCCAGCCTTCCGCTCCGCTCCCCTCCCCCCCCCCCCCCCCGGGTTCCCGCTTCTGCCCCCCCCCCTCCCCCGGGAACGCCTGGATCTTTGGGCTGCAGCAGCGAGCAGCCTATGACACCCGGGTCGGCCAGCCTTCCTAGCGGGCGTCCAGCTAGCATCAGGCCCCTGTGCGGGGAGGGCGGGGAGGGCGGGGCCTGGTGAGGAGGGCACCAGGTGGGGCCCCAAGGCTCCTGAGAGCCTGGCGGCTGCTAGACAACCCCACTCCCCCTCCTAATGGCTGGAGGGAGCTCAACTGGTACCAGCCTTTTTGGGCAGAGCACGGATTTGACAGCTCCGCCGCTTGAGAATATGCGCTGACCCTGCAAGACAGAGGCAAAGGCTTCCCTGTCCAGCAAAGCCAGCATTGCGAGGTTTTCACTTCCAGACTTAGGTTTTTGAGTCTGATCAGAAAAGACTGCTCCTCTTCGTGTAGCAAGAGAGGGGGAGCTCTGTCTTGCAGTTCGCTTGAAAGACATTTATAGAAAAGACACTCTGGTTCCACATGTCACCCGGATGTATGCTTTCATGAAGATTCGATTTCTCTGACACTATTCTTACATTTCTCGTTTAAAAAAATATAAAGTGCTTTTGGGGACATGCTGAGAGGTAACTGAAGACTGCAAAGAAAAACCTCCAATTGTTCCAAAACCGGTTTGGCTCAGTGGATAGAGTATTGGCTTGAGGACTGAAGGGTCCCGGGTTCGATTCCCATCAAGGGAATGTACCTTGGTTGTGGGCACATCCCCAGTAGGGGGTGTGCAAGAGGCAGCTGGTTGATGTTTCTAACTCTCTCTTCCTCTCTGTAAAAAATCAATAATATATATATACATATATATATTTATTATTATTATTTTTTTAAATCTCCAATTGTCATGGCTGAAGGAGAGAATGAAGTGAGATGGGATGATGGGCTGTGCAGTAGAGATTCATTTGCTAGAAAGACAGCACTGGAAAACAGGCAAATCATTTTGAGAAAAACTGAGTATCTTCGTTTAGTGAAAGAGACACCTATGGTCCATCAGATGGGCTTTCAGAGGCTGGTTCTTTGGAGGGGTTGAATTAGCTTCTTGCTCACCTGCTTATGCTTTCTAAGAGGTGTCCCTTTAAAGGTGTAAGAGAGAAAAGCGAGTTTATTTTGAAGAGCGTCCAGCAACTTGGAATTAGAATTCCTCGAACACTGGGGCACACACCAAGCAGATTTAGCCCAGAAAAGGAGATTCTTTAGGTGGGGAGTGAAGACGCACAAATGCATGCTTTATTTGCAGACTCCTTTGCTGCTTTGGGTCGTTTGGATAACATTACATGAGTGATGGTTTTTCACCCACAGTATTTAGAAAGTTTCTTATAAACTCAACACTATCTACTGCAAATGGATGGGCCATTACCCCTGCATTCCCAGCACTACATTGGAATAATGGCTGCAGCAAGACATCAGTGCTCCTACTTGGTGAACCTCCATGTAAATGATTTCCTTTATGTTGGTGGGGACTCCAAGTGGCTTAATGGCTTAGAT